TACTTAAAGTAGTATATTTTTTCCAAATTTTGAACAGTTCGAATTCTTGCCGTAGTGTTTTTAAGGTGAGGGCTACATGTTGCAGCAACATGTTGCTACATGCGAAATTTATTATCGATTATTATTATCGATTGTGGCGCGAAATATTCGTTACGTGTTAAATTTTTATTACGAACGAACGCCCGATTGGTTATCGACAACGAAATTATCTAATCTAATGCGAAATGCAACGTTTCGACGTATCGGAATTGTTTACAAATAAACGGGGCTATCGTTGTTTATGGTAGGACAACCTTCCACGTGAATCCTAATTAAAATTTAATTGCATTTACGGACTAATTTCGCCGTGTTATATGCATATACGGTTCGCCTGGAATTGCGTCATAGAACGATCTCTCTATATATAAATCGCAGTAGGTGCGCGTCAAATTTGAATCGTGTGACGTTTCTGTCAAATTTTTCGCGGCCTTTTGTGGTTTAGCGTATTCAGCCAAATCGATTCCAGAGGTCCCCTATATTAATCTAACCGCATCGTTTTTTTTTTTTTTAATTCAGGACGATTTATATAACGCAAAAGTATAAGTCTTACGAAACGTTAATTAAAAATCGTTTTGTAACCATGAAAATGTCATTATAATACGTTTTGTTTTCGACTAATTTCTTTAAAAACAGCACTAACCAAACCCGCATTTAACTATAAATAATAGCCGTGGATTTTAGAGAAAGCGTGTATGCTTAATAACCTTGGTGGATCGATTAAATCTATTGCAATATTTCCGATTCGTCGAAATTTCGGGGATTAACTCGCGCCCGAGCGACTTCGAACTAAATTCTATTAAACAATCGGTCCCCGAAAGTTTCGATCGTTTGTCTAACGTTATCCTTCGATGCGCCCGAAACTCTGCGGGAACCCCCGAATTTACTTCGCTCGTAACGCGCGAGGATATTATGGAGGATTGTCAAATAAATTTGAATAAGAGACAAGCCGGTATTGTTTATATTAATCTTCGCCGCTCGCGAGGCTCCGGTTTAAACGTTTCCGGGTTGTTATTCTCGTTGACGAAAGTCTCGGCCGACTTCCTAAATTCCGTGTAAATTACGCCGCGAGATATATTCGGTGTTTATTTATGTTTTTGATAGGTTTATTACCATCATATTCGTGAATACTGTAATGTTATCAAGGGAATTTTACATTTTACGCAGATGAGTTCTTTGCTGATTGTTTTTTTGCATTGCACGCTATTAAGTAGGATTTTAAGATGCGTTCGATGATACATAAGCAAACAAACCGTTAAAATTGACATTAATGACGTTTCGTGTGACAGAAGTTTAGTAGAGGTGGGAATCAATTGGTTGGTATAGAGGTGCAGTAACGACTGTTACAAAATAAGCGTTATTTTCAAATACCGTTCTACTAGTTATTCTACTCTCTCTGTATGATTAAATTTTACCAAGATGCGATTAGATTTGAATGCGGTGAATACGAAAACTTTCGAGTTTGTTATGAATGAAGATTTCGCTACATAGAAGATACGAAAACTACAAAGTAGGTCGAGTTCCGTGAAAATTAGGCATACTGTTCTATTTTCGTCTGAAATCCCATTTATGTATTTTTTTTTCTTTCTCTCTATCTCTCTCTCTAACGACCGTAATTAAAATCGTCGCGAAAAAGATAGCGATGTCCTACTCTTTTTCTGCTCATAAAGCGGTAATTATTCTCGAGAAGAAGAGAGGCAAATATTTGAAATTCAGCGGCGATTTCCACCCGTAAAATGGCTAAATTATTACCCGAACATAACGAAAATAGTTTTTTCGAACAATTACCTTCATCTATTCAAACATTATTTCATTTTAAATCAATAAATTATTATTAGGACTATTAAATACACAAAAATTACTCCAAAAGAGAGATAAATAAGTTAGTAATTTACTTGGCCACTCTGTATGTGCGCTTTTAAATAGTTTATACTCCGTTCGCAATCAGGAGATAGTACGAGTAAAGTAAGGTTTTATTACTATCTCCTGATGGCGAATAGAGTATAGTACAGGATTCTTTATTAAGGTGATAATTAATAAAATTTTCTCCAGCAAATTAAGGGACTTCTTGACCTTAATGGTCGTGTAAACACGCACGAACGCTCCACCTTGACGAGCGCAAATATTTCGAAAAATAATTTATTATCATCGGCTAAATAATTCCTCCAGCCTTGGCTCGGATACGTCGCGGCTTCTAATGGATTAATTTCGCGTTAGTTTTTTACCATTTTCTCTAAACGGCCCGTCCGAAAAAAGAGAATATTAAACGTCCGAGGCCGATGAAAAAAAATTCTTCGTTCGTCGTCGATGAAAAAAAAAAAAATCTATTGCTAAATCGTACGTGAAGGTCGAAAGTCGCGTGGGAGGCCGAAGAAAACGGACCGAAATCTAATTAATTTATGCGCGTTATCCAATCGAAATGGGAATTTCGAATTATGCAATAAAAAAACTTTTCTCCTTAATTTATTATTCCGATTTCCTGAAAACGAATAGTCGATTCTATTAAAATATATCGTCCAACCTACTGGCATACTTTAGATTCTCAAACAGGTATGTTTCATGTTTGTGTACTCTGTAAATTACTGAATTTTATGCATTGTACTCGAATAAGTTGGTCTTTAAGAAGCGTTCCATGATGCACAAACAGAAACTGTCGAAATTGACATTAATGACAGAAGTTTAATAGAGGTGGCAATCGATTTTATGATGTAGAGGTGCCGTAACGACTGTTACAAATTAACCGTTATTTTTCAATTACTGTTCTGCTCTATTCCACTTTAATCTAGTGTACTGTCCAATTACTCTTAAAAATATTTACACCAAGTAAATCATTCTGTGCTGTAATAATAGGGTAATTAATACGTAAACGTGTTTGATATAAATCCCGATTGTCGCCGGTCCAATGGTCAAGGACAAGTCACAAGACCAGATGATCGGTAATTTCCTAACAAAATTACGCGTACCTATATTACCTGTTAAACGATTCATTCGATTAATAAGTCGCAGATATAAAGGCGATTAGTAAAACAAATACGGAAAGAGCGAGAGAGAACCTTGTGCCGTGTTAAATCCTTTTGTGTGCGATTGGAACAAAAGCATTCCGTCGACGGTCGTTCTTTTCCCATATACAAAACCGGTGGAAATGCGGTCGTTGTTCTCTTAATGCCCCATTCCTTTGGCGCATAAGCCGGGGAAAATTAAAAAGAGATTTGTACGCTATAACGAAAAAAGAAATAACATCGCGTACGCCACTCGTATATTTTGGTTTTTCGCCGAATCGCCCGGACTATACGTCGCGTGTTAGTCTGGGCGATTAGTAGAAAAAATTCGAGGATCGATCGCAAAAGTGATTCGTAAATCCGGGCGATCCGGTTTTAACGATTTCCACACTCCTTCTTCTTAATAGATTCGGGCTGTTTTTGCGGGGCTTATCTATCGGGCCCCGGAGGTAACCGGTAAACTTCTAGATAAACCGAATTAATGGAACGAATTGAATTATTGTAAACCAATTAGTCGGATAAGGGTTGAAATGCTCGAGGTATTTACGTGACCTTTGGAATATTTATGAAGAGATTAGCCTATTGTAGATGGGATATTTTGAACACCCCTAGTTGTAAATTTCTGTTGAAATGTAATTACATTTCTGTTTTTCTCTAGTAAATTATTCAGTTAAATAAGTGTGCCTTGTAATGATTTATACAGTGTGTTGAACTGGTTGACTTCCTTAGTATAAGAGTCGCGTTTGTTTTGTTAATACTGAATTGATTTTCTGTCATTTCCACAAACTGGAGTTCTACTTTGTGTGCTTCATTAAGCTTTAATTTTTTTTTTATTTTTTATTTTGTTTGTCGTTTCATCGGCCTTTCGTAGAAAAGATTACGGACTCATTCGGTGCACGTTTTCGCTGCAGCTGGTAAACAAAGGACAACGAACAAAAATCCGTTTAGATAAATTGCATTTAACTAGTTGTAATTTATGGCGTTAGAAATATTCGCTCTTTTAATTTCTTTTAAATTCGCTTTAATTCGGCTCTCGACTGGCTGGATGTCGTCTGTGCAAAAGACCGTCAATTTGGTGACGTCATTACATATTTACAAAAATTTGGTAAAAAGGTACAAATGTTTACTTGTAATTACACAGAGAATATTCGAATTACGAGTATAATCGTAACAGGATAGAAATTAATAAAATTGAACTTGAATTGTGACAACAACACAAGTATAAAATTTCATACAACTGATATTATTACAAACTATAATATACAACACATTTAATATTCATGATATTGAAGTAATAATTTATTCGAATTAATGAATACTAATAGATAATAATAAATACATCCCTGCAAAGTAGGCAACCCATTATACAAGTTTACAGTAGATAAACCATTACATTTCCATCGGAAAAACACACCATGATTTTTTTTTAGTATTTACGAATAAGCGCTCGCACGGAAAGAAAAACAAGGATACATCAGCACGGAGCGAAAACAGACGTCTGCTCTACGCGAAATTGAATTATGCATTGTAAATCGCAACGCTATCGCCCGGCTTGTTTTGCTTCCATTTTTAAACAGCCTCGACGGGCTCCGCCGGGGAAACACCGGCCGCTTTTTTTTTCCTATCCGCTGCGTTTTAAATTATTTACACCGTACACCGTTATATGCGGAGATGTTTGTTATAATTTCCCATCGATTTCTAATGAACTATTATCAACGATATTGGCCCGTATTCACCGCATCTGTTTGAGATTAACGAGTCCCTAGTTACTCCATAACAACAATGTAAATCTGTCAAATTGAAAGAATCCTTAGTTACTCCATAACAACAATGTAAATCTGTCAATTTAAAAGAATCTCCTTAGTTACTCCATAACAACCATGTAAATCTGTCAAGTTAAAGACGTCTTCGACTATTAAAGAATGTCTTCGACTATTATACATGTATGTTTTTTTGTTGTTGCAGGGCTCGATTCTCGGATGACCCCCCGAAAGGGTGCTGCGGCATCCTGACGTGGAAACCCGGCTCTCTGAGATGGTTCATAGCTTTAATAGCCCTCGTGGCCGTTTGCTGCGTGTTGGTGGGCACCGCTTTGGGCGCCATGAGGCCCTCCGGAAGGGATCATTTGACTGTGTCGCTCCTGATGATCGGTAAGTAAAGAGTAAATTGTACGATTTTTGGATGTTATTGTTGTAATTTTGTATGAAATGTCTGAAGGATGTTTGATTTTAGAGTAGATACGAACGAAAGTGTGCATGTGAAAAACGAACTTGTGTTGTTCTAGTTCTGAATTATGCTATACCCAAACGTGGATCGTGGAGCTCTGGAGAATGTTGACAATATTGATCTAGCTAGTTCATAATGATTCTAGACAGTTTTCAATGATTCTGGAGCGTTCTAAATGACTATTATTAACATTCTAAATGGTTCTAGACAGTTTTCAATGATTTTGGAGCGTTCTAAATGATTCTAGAGCGTTCTGAATGATTATTATTAACATTCTAAACGATTCTAGACAGTTTTCAATGATTCTGGAGCTTTCTAAATGACTATTATTAACATTCTAAATGGTTCTAGACAGTTTTAAAACATTCTGGGGCGTTATAAATTGTTCTAGACAGTTCTAAACGGTTTTAGACAGCTCTAACTAACACACTGAAAAAACGGGACTGAAAAAACCTGCCCCTAAACAACAACAACATATAATCTTTCACTGCATGATGTACATTTAGCATGTATTCGCCTTTTATCATAATGAAACACTCCGCGTCGATTGAGCCCTAAAACCGCAGGATCAGGATCAGAGGATAATTTCGCGCGTTTCCCGCCCTCGTCGCGATCGCCCGAGCGGAAAACAGGTGGACTAACTTACGCTTAGGTTTAGGTATACACAAACGGAACGAGTTTAGAACAGGAAGGGCGGACGAGCGACTTAATTATCGCATTATTAAAGTGCAGATTGCGGTAGCTATGGCGACGACAGAAGTGTTGTCCCCGTTAACACGGGGAATTATAATTTATAATGGAGCTTTTACACATTTTTTTTTCCAAGGCTTACAAGGGTAAAGATTACAAGTTCTCGTCCGGACTCCGGACTATATACAGTGATGGGCAAATGTGTGGAACCAAGTGAATATCTCTGGAATCAAATTTTAAAACTGACATTACTTTCGGTTGAACCGGAAGTTCAAAATTGTCAAAAAATGTACAACTACTTCGTAATTTATTGTAATATGTACCCTCCAAATTTCATTCATATCGGATCGTTCTCAATGGTTCTAGACAGTTCTAAATTATTTTGGAGCATTCTAAATGGTTAATGGACAGTTCTAAATGTTCCTGAACCATTCTAAAAGTCTTTAGACAGTTCTAAATGATTCAGATCGAGAACTTCTCACCCTACCCTCATATCTCACGTGAAATTTGTATCGAAATCGCTCTATATAGAGTTAACTAGCAGCGGTCTCGTACGATGCGCGAGCTCGATTTAGCGCGCGCGCTGTAGTGTAATACATAATTAATTCGATTGATTTATTTGTCAACAGGCGTCGGTATCGTCCTGGTGACGGTGAGCGGCGTCGCCTGGCGTCTGACGTCGCACGATTCCTCCACGTGTCGATCGATGTTGGGCCTCGGCAGTACCGAATCGGTGGAGGTGTGCGCGCGCCGCTTCGTGCCCCGCCTGCCGCCCGCCTACGGCCGCCCCCACCATCCCTACGCCGCCATGATGTACCCGGAGTTCCAGTACAGGCCGCCGCCGCCCAGCTACCAGGCCTCCATGCAGGAGTACCGCCTGCGGTTGTTGCTGCTCGAGCGCGGCAACACGCCCCAGATCCAGGGCGGCCTCCAGAACGCCGTCTCGCCGCCCCCGACCTATCGCAGCCACTCCGGCAGCCTTCTCAGGTATGTACTTTTTTCGTATACAGGTTGCTCCATTTTTTGATCGCAATATAGGTTATATAGGCCACGGGTGCGATAAAGACAACTTCCATTAGACGCTCATAGAGGAAAAGGAAAGAGTGACATTTGTGTCATTGCAACTTTTCACTTTGACAACTGTCATTTTAATAATCTTACTTTGTTCCACTCATAGCAATGACTGTTATCGGTATACAGGTGTTAAAGATGGATTCTTGAAGATGAATTTTTTATAGATAATAATTTCATTAATAGCAAAGGTAAACTGATGAAATTTTGGTACACATACAGAACAAATGAAATGTCTTAGGGTACTATTTGATCGGGTTAGAAAAGTTGTCTAGGGGTGGGTTAAAATGGGGGGTTCGTGGGGTAATTCTAACCTAACTTTTTTAACCTTTTAAACTTTTTTTTGATTTGTTTAAAGAATATGAAAAAATGAAGTTTTCTACATAAAAAAGGTATACTTAGCTTGTTGATTTTCCGTAAAGTAAACCGTTTTCACGAAAATTGACTTTTAAAATTCTGCCGTCGAACCGGAAGTGAAAAACTTTCAGTTCGACGATGACGTACGATTATTCCCGAATGAAAGACGAAGTCGATGACATTTGAGTTTCTATGGATACGTTGACATTTAATTTGACGTACAGGGTGTTTTTTTCGTTAGGGAAATCGACAAAAATTGATATACAGTCTGTTTTTTTTTCTAAAACAAACAATTGTTTTAATTTATATTGAAATATACCGATAGCTTCAATTCAGACCGCAACATGGTCGTTTCTATGAGTCGAACAAAGAAAGATTAATAAAATGACAGATGACAGTTGTCAGAGTGAAAAGTTGCAAAAACACAAACGTCACTATTTCTTTTTTTTTAATCACATATCAGTAGATGGTATAATAATTGTATTGGCGGTGTTTCAGGGTGCCGATGTCGTGTAGACGGGAGGCGGCGCAATCGGAGTACAGCTGCCCGCCGTCGTACCGGTCCCAAAGCACCCGACCGGGCACCGTGCAATCGAATTCGGCGTTGCACAGCCGAGAGCAATCGCTCAGCCTCTCCGAATCGAATCACGGCGAATCGATGGTGAACGTCGTCAACATCCTCACCGGAGGCGGCGTCGGCGGCGGCGTCGGCGGCGACGACCTGGCCTTGGACAACATCACGTTGGATTCGCTCAAGATGGAGCCCGAGCACGAGCACGAGCTGCACCACCACCATCGGCCGGTGAAGGTGCTGTTGAAGGGCGGCGGCGGCGGCGCGGGCGGCGATTTCGCCGACGGCGGCGGCAAAGAGGGGAATCTCGTTACTATAGTACAAACCGGCGATCGGAGTCCCGTGATCGTGACTGTGAGCGGTCATTCGCAAATCGATTCGAATAGTACCGTGCAAATTACGGAGGTACCGACCGAGATCGAGATACTGGCGCATTTGTAATGCTTTCGGATCTCGGGGATTGTTGATTGGTCGATTTTGTTGGGGTTTTTTTTTTCTATTAGTTTTCTTGTATCCATCGTCTCTTTGCGTGTGTAAGGAGATTGTAGAAAATAAACGAATATAGTGAGGAAATAATAATTATTATAATAATAATGTTTAATAATATAATAGCTTGAGGTTGGTAGTTCCTTTTTGAAAATCTCATACTAGCACACCCGTAATAGCAACAAGTGGAAATTTTGTTCTTAATTTGTCACAAACTACGTTCTTAAATTGAAATTAATTAATTTGTACTATTTTTATATGGGTATATGCAAATTTGTTTGCAATATAAGTTGAACAAATAAATATATTGAAATCACAGTGGTTAGAATGAAAAATCAATCTCTCTTTTTCCTTTATATTAGACTAATGAAAACGTCTTTGTTGCACCCATAGAAAATATTGCGTACAAATTTGCATTTAACTGTATTTTGATTTTCGACTCCTGTGAAATTCGTACTTTGTCTATTTATTTCCCCATTTTACCTTTTATTACGTTTATAATGTTTTAATTTATTTTTGCAATGAAATAGTACCTCCATACAACAACAGATGTGATAAAAGACATTATTCAAATTCAAATAAATCTTTTTATTTGTTCTACAATATTGTGTGTAAACAAATTGTTTTATCACATCTAAATAAGTATTAATTGTGATTACCTGATATTAAAAAAAAAGCTTATAATGTATATTTATGGAATGAAAAATAATAAGGCCTCCTTGTATTAATCTCTTCGATCGAATGTAAGACTGGGAGTAATTAGAATTATTATCTACGTACTGACACAAAATTTACTGTCCAGTTTTTCCATTCAGCGCGGACGATTGGCAAGTTGTTAATTGGTTAATTTAAGTAATGCGTCAATTAAATTCAATTAAATTCTGGATTTTTTAACAGTTTGTGGGATTGGTGTTTCGAACGAGTCACTGTGAGTTGTGCCAAATTTGTTTAAAATAAAATCACATCGATCGAACAAAGGACATTTGATGGTATACAGATTTATTATTATGAATTTGAACTATACAGGGTGTTAATTAATTGAATGCCCATACTTAAAAGTACTAAAGCTCTTAGTTTTCGAGCTACAGGGTGATACTCCAGATATTTTTATGAATTAATTAACACCCTGTATAATATATTCTTTAACGAAAGAGTTAATGCTTTAGTGAAATTACCCACATTGTAAATATCGATTAATAATTATGTGTTTTTATACGGATCACAATTTGTGGTTATTACCATTTATAGAAAGTATTATTTTTTTTCTTACGTTTTTATTAAAATTTAGTGTTAATTTTAATGTGTATTATCAGATATTACGTACGACATATTTTGATCATTGGTGGTTACAAGAAGGGCCATAAATTGCGACAATATTTTAATATTAAATGTATATTGTATGCTAATTTTAATCGTATTTAAATTCATTTCGGCTTTAAAATTATGACCCATCTTGAACATCTCGGTAAAAGATAATCACGATTTTCTGTATATTATAAATTCGACGTTCGAAATTCGCATTGCAAAATCGTGATTAGCTTTGGTATATTTGTTATGTTTTTTTTACTAATATCATGTTACATTCTGTATATTTGCGATATTATGTGCCTATATTGTAGATAAAAATCATAAAATATTATCTGTACATTATATTTTAAAGTGAATAAAAGTTTTTCAACTACTAAAATATATCGATCTGTATTTATTGAAAATTGATGAAAATAAATGTAAAATATAATACTTACGTCTCTTGTCGAATTTATCGGGAGAAGAAGCCCTCCGCTGTCCCGTACTCTCTCAAAATAGGTCGAAAAACAAACCAAAACTCCAAACAAACCAAAAATCGCGGGAGAAACTGTCGATAAACGTACAGACACATCACGAAAAAGTATTAAAACGAACGGAAAACACAAAACCTACTCATAAACTTAATTAAATTGCAGGAATAAAATCGCATCAAAAGTAACAAAAATCACATAACCTGTCAACCACAATGAGAGGCATTTTAAAACTAGCGCAAAACGCTTCGGAATTGCAACCGCGCGTCGTAAAATTCCCCAAGTCAAATGGGAGAATTAACATTGACACTAGGGACATTTTGAACTACGTGGAAATTACTAAAAATTACCAAATCATTTAACGAAATTGTTATTTCGTGTTTTATTCACTTTACGTTATTAGGCAACCAATATTACATAAAAAAATCATAAAATTCGATTGATTTTGTAACTCTATATTTTAAAGGACATTCCGGGTATTAATAAAACAATACCGATTTTAATATAATCCGTTTTTGATCCGTATAATTTCGCAAGTAAAAATTATATGCTAATCGCAATTTAATCCTCCATTCCACCCCGTATAGGGCCAAAAAAAAGGGTTGTTTGTATCGAATCCAACTCCTAGGCAACGTTTCGATCAAACCAAAACCAACACAAACAAATTAGAACAACTCGTGTCATTAACCTCGTAAACATTTTCGCCAGCAGGACCAAAAACCGAAAGCAAAAATGGACTGGAAATACATATTATCCTTGAATCCAGACGATCTAAACGACGACGAAAAGGACGAATTGTACAGTACTATAACGTGGTTCGATTGCGACAACGCCAATTTGGACAACGACAAATACAAAGCATTTATAAGGTAATGGTACTAAAAAAAATGTGTGCTGTACTAAAAATATAAGTATACAGGGCGTGCCAAGAGATCCTAAAGTACAAAGGCGAGCAAGTGGAAACGCTGCTACACGAATTGGAGGAGATGGCCGTCAAACAAGCCGAGGAAGAGGCCAAGCGGCAAGAGTCCGAAGCCGATTTGAGGAGCTCCAAATCCAGGAAATCCAGCTCGATCGAATACGAAAGTACATAATTACAATAATAACAAACAAATACATTAATCGACCTCATTACGCAGATTTGGAACAGAAATACGCCGAAACGAAAGCGAAATTGAAAAAGATCAACAAAATCAACGAGAAACAAGTCACCGAAATCGACAAGGTATAAATTGCCAATCGTGTGTATAAATCGTATAAATGTAAATCGTACGATCTTATAGTTAAACAACAAAGTCAAGCTGTTGGAGCAGGAGAACAAGCGGCTCAGAAACGAGCTGCAATCGAGACCTCAGGACGGCATCGATACCGAATCGGACACATCGGAAACGATCAAAGACAAACAGAAGGAGTTGGCGGAGACTTTGCACAACAAAAACAGGCAAATATCGAGTTTACTGCGCGACATAGAAGTACGTAATACACAGGGTGTTTCAAAATGACATTCTAATACCATTTACTACAAATTATTGTTAAGGACGTAGAAAAAGAAAACGCCATCTTGAGAGACAACGTGGTGAAATTGAAGGAAGAATTATCAGTAGCCACTCGAGAAATCGAATCCACAACGGAACTATTGAAAAACAAACAATCAACAATCACTCGAAACGAAGGTAAAACACCTGTAAAAACTTTAATACACCACTAATATTATCGTATTTAAGAAACCATCGAACAACTAACCGAGCAACTTGAATCCACCAAAACCGAACTAGAATCGATACGAAACGAACGAACCATCGACCAACAACAATCGAATCAAACAATAACCGACCTAACCAACAAACTCGCCCAATTACAAGTAAACAACCCTTCACCAAACACCAACAAAATTTCTAACCAATCGAACGATTCCAGCAAGAGTTAAACACGAAGCAAGAACAACTCCTCGAGCAAGCGACCGCTTCGCACGAACCATCGGTTTCCACCCAACCGAAGGAGCCGAAGGACCAGCCGGACGCCGCCCGAACGGGCGACAAGGTCCACTCTCGCCTGGCGGCCCTGCAGATGGCCTTGAACGACAGGGACGGGCAGCTCGCCGAGGTGCGGGGCCAGCTGCGGCTGGCCGCCGGCGACATGGACGAGGCCGCCGAGATGATGGCGGAGCTGAAGGCGCTGAGGCGGCGCGACGAGGAGAGGGCGCGCGAGCTCGACGAGGAGGCGGCCGAGTCGAGGAGGCAGGCGAGCCGCTCGCACGAACGGTGCAGGAAACTGCAAGACGATTTGGCGTTCGTCGAGGACAGCCTGAGGATTAAAAACGATGAGGTGAGTGCAATGCGCACCGTTGAGTTGTATGAGGAATAATTGCTTTCGTAATTGTTTCGTTACTTACTTTAGTAATTGTAATTGTGGGGTTATGTTTGTTTGTTTTTCTTCTTCTTTTTTTTTGAACGAACTGTCAATGTTGACACGGAACTATAAGTTTTCAAAAATGACACATTGCCGTTAGCTTTAGAATTTCTTGTTTTATGTAAATGTTCTCCTGCGATTTAGGCAACCAACATTACCTGTATATTCATTTTGAACGTATTTTTTAGTTAAAAGAGATTTTAAACAAGATGCGCGATAACGGACAAACCGACTTGGCCGTCAACTTGAACAAAATAGACGAATTGAAAACCGATAATAGACTGAAAGAGAAGCGTATAATCGATTTGGTCAAGACCGCCAACAAGTTACAAGACCAATGCGATCTACTGGCAAAAGAAAACTTTTCTCTAAGGTACGCAATCTATTAGCAAACGTTAATCAAACAATATTATAAGTGCGAATTCCCAGGGCGAGTTTAGGAATATCCGAAGAGGAATCGGTAGACACGTCAACGTACAACGCGAAATATAAACGTCTAAAAAAAGAAATAGAACATTTAAAACACAAGCTATCTAACAAAGAAGAAACGATATTGCAATTAAAAACCGACATCCACAATCGGCGCAAAGACGAACACACCGACACCGCCCGGAATCTAATCGAAGAAAACGAGGCGCTAAGACTGGGCCTACACGAAATCATGGAAACCATCCAGAACAAACGCACGCGACTCGACATCAAATCGGAAACGCTGGAAAAACTGCTGAGAACCTTAGACGTCAAACACGCGGCGGGCTGGTATCACCCAGCGATGAGGCTGCAAGCGGAGCTGCATAACCTGGAAGGCGTCAACGCCGAACTGAGGCAACAACTCCGAGAAGCCAGGCGACAATCGCCCGAAATCCCCGAAACCGAGTCCATCCCACAAATCGAAGAAACCCTATCGGAAAACGTCGAAGATTCCGTCGATAAACTGCTCGATCGTACCGCAAACATCGACTTTATCCGTCGGCAAGTCGCTTTGTGGTTGCGACGAGCGAAAGACGAATCGGCGGCGCTGCGCGAGGAGTCGCAATCGCTGCGGCGCGAGCACGAATCGGTGCTGGAGAAGCTGAAGATACTGATGGGCGAGACGGACGAGGAGAAAATCCGGAAAATCAACGAGGTGATCGCGACGAACGCGCGCCTCAACAGGCAAGTGGTGCATTTGGAGAACGAGAGAAACGCCGCTTCGACCAAAATCGACGAATTGCAGATCGACGCGAACGAATCGAAGCGAAAGTACGAGAAGAACCTGATGGAGTTGCGCTCGTCCAACGAAAATTTAACCACTAAACTACAAATTGTTACCAACACAAACTCCACGATGGTCGCTTACGAAGTTCACAAACGACTCGAGGAGGATCTAAACGAATTGACTGCGAAGCACAGGAATTTATTAGCCAGCGTTCGATTAGACGACGATAATAAAAACCACCAAATCGACGCACTTACCACGACATTAAACTGCTTAGAAACCGATAAAAACGAATTAATAAAGCAACTGGTCGCTCTCAAAACCGAACACATCGCCTCCTCCAACCGATCCGTCGACGAATCGCTGGAGAAACTAGCCGGGGAATTGTCGCGAAGGGAAATTGGCGAGCAAACGCAACGCCAGCGCGCCGATCACGTCACCAACCTCTACGAATTGGTCAAAGACCAGCTGGACAAGGCCGAGGAACGGTTCAAAGAAATCAACAAATTCAACGAAGAACTCGTGAAGAAGAACCTCGACCTGCAGGAGCAGCTCAAAAGCAACGAAGAGAAATTGTGCGACTACATACAAACCACCATATACAATCGACTCGTCGACACCAACAACGCTCTACTTACAACGCAACGAGAACACATCGAAAAAATCGACGAATTGTCGAGGGAATTGGACGAGGAAAAGCGCCGGAAGGGCATCGAGAAAACGTGGAACGACGACAAAGAGCAGGAGCTGTTCAATCTGAGGCACCGCATGGTGGATTTGATCGCCACGTCGGACGATAAGGTGGTGATTGCGCAGCTGAGCGCCGACGTGCTGCGAAACAGGCGCCTGGCCGAGTTCTACAAGAGCAATTTGGCCGCTCTGGATCGCGATTTGGAGGCGGAGGCGAGCGCTAGGCGCGCCGATCGCGGCCGATTCGACGAGGCGAGGCGAGCCTTCGACGAACGGGAGGCGGCGTTGACGAAGAAAATCGAGTATGTATACGAATTAATTGTAGAAGCGTGATCGATTTTTTGTTTTGTTTAGCGATTTGTCGACGTTGCTGGGTCGACAGAGCCTCAGGTTCTACGGTTGCGCGCCGTTGGCGAGCGAGGAAACGCGCGTCGGTAACGTTCTGATGGTGTACAGGCAAAAGTACGAAACTTTCCGAGCCTTGCAGAAGGCCAAAGAGCTGGAAAACGAGGCTCGCTTGGCCAAGGAAACGCTGGATTTGGAATTGGAATGGACGGAGAGGCGGAAAGGCGCCCAATCGGACGATCACAAGGACGATTACAGGAACACCTCCAATTGGATGCAAGAGAAGAAAAATTACCAGATAAGCGTTAGTATTTTTGTTACTAACTCTCTCGTATACATTCCTTCGTTTCTTATACTAAAAGAAATTTGTGCAGGAGTTGCGGCTGAAGCGCCAGATGGAGTTCAAGGAGTTGCAGCTGCAACACTACGTGGAGCGCGTGCGCGTCCAGGACGAGCAGCTGCAGAAGCTCGACCAGGAGCTGTTGCGCGCCTACGAAGCCGACGAGGCGCGGCCGGCGCGAGACGTCGCGACGCCGACGCCGACGCCGCGTCGTCCGCTGCAGCGGTCGGTGTCGGTGCAGGCGCAGATCGAGTCTTCGAACGCTGTGAAATTGACCAAGGAGCTGATGGATTTGAACGAGGAGCTGTCGCAGAGGGACAGGGAAATCGAGGGATTGAAGCGTAAAATTGGGGAATTCGAGGCGACGGTGGGGGCTTTTAGGAAGCAGATTGCCGACAAACAGAGCCAGATCGGTTTCTACGAGCGGCACATCGTCGAATTGCAGAATAAAAAGGACCCGGTGCAACAGAACCAGCACCAAAACGACGGCGCCGGTGGCGATAACGTTGGAGTCACTAACGCTAGCGAAGAGGTGTTGGTGTTGAAGGTAAATTGCTTAGATATCTATATTATAATCTACTTATTAACTTCCCTTAGACCACGCTCAAAACTCTACAAGACACCGTCCGAACCAAAGACGAAGAAATCATCAAATACCAAACGCTACTAAAAACCGACAGGGACAAGCACAGCCTGGCCGCCGCTTCGCTACAAGACGAACTCCAGAACCTCCAAAGGCAGCTAACCGACGAAAAACAACGCGTCAAAAGGTACACCAAACTATAACACCCTCTATCTTTCATCATCGATTCGTAATCGAACCCGTTCCGTCGGCGATTAGATACCTCTGGTAGCTATACAGGCGCCCGTTGTTTCAGCTCGGAGGCGGCGAGGCCGAGCCGGGCGGCGGTCGAGCAGTACGTGGGCCAGGTGCACGCGCTCGAACGGCACGCCGCCGAGCTGCACACGAAGCTGACGGCCGTCGAGGCGCAGCTGCGGTCGAGCAGAGAGGAGACCGGGCGATGGCGGGCGATGGCCAACGATCGATTGGCCGCCATGGAGGAGCTGAGGAAGAAGTGAGTACAGAAGAAGGTTGCGATAGAGATGGTAAAGAAGTAATTTGATTTATTTTTGGTGTGTGTGTAGTTTGGACGAGCAACACCAGTTGGAGATGGACGTGTTTAAATCGGACGTGGAGAAGTTGAAGGAAATCGGTAACGATGAGGTGAATAGTTTGAGGCAGATGGTGTTGAGGCAGAAGGGCGAGTTGACTGGTCGATTGGATTCGGATATACAGCGGTTGATTAGAGAAAAGGATGCGAAAATACACGAGATGATCGTGAAATGTCGGCAAATTAAGGTGCGTGATGATTGGAGTCGAAAAGTGCTGCTTTTTGACTCCAAAAAAGCTCATTTGGGCTTGAAATTGCGACACTTTTCCTGTACCAATTTCGCAGTTATTCATTTGTAAATGATTTTTGCAGTCTGTTAAGAAACCGGAGCCTCGAGATTTGGAATTGGCGACGAAACACGCCGATTCCGACGAAGTCAAACAGACGTTGCTCAGGGAAAACGAAACGTTGCGAAGGAAATTCGAGCAGGCGATGAATAAAGAGAAGACCCAAAGGGAGGAGATCAACAACTTGAAGTTCCAGCTCATGAAGAAGTAAATATATGCGAAAATTGTTGGTGTATTTTTTAAATTATGGCTCTGCGATTTTACCAGACCCATTAGCGCCCGAAGCGACAGATCGGAGAAATCTTTGAAGGAGCAATTGCAGAAGAAAATCGCCAATTTGGAGAAGGAAAACGGCGATTTGAGGCGACTAATCGAAGAACGGACGGTGATTAACGAAACCCATCGGATCCAAGCCGGCGAGGACTTCAACAAATGGAAGAAAATGAAGAACCTGCAACAAACCGTCGACAAAATGAAGAACAAACTCAAATTGAAGGACAACGAATTCGAGAAGCTCCAACAAACCGCCGCCGGTGAGTGAACAAATCGATTCAAAACCTTCTAAAAAACTTCTCGTTTGTGCGTTTCTGCAGCGTACAAATTGGTAACGGAGAGATTGGAGCGCGAGAAGCGCAACTTGGAGAACAGAGTGAAGAATTTGAAATCGTCCGATGCGGACGCCGCCGAAACGGAAATACTCAAAATGGAGAACCGACGTCTGTCGGACGATATCGAAGAGTTGAAGGGCAAGATGGAGGCGCAACGACGCCACGCCGGCGCCTTGGGGGCCTCCATGTTGCAGGAGAAATTGGAGGCCCAAGAAAGGAAAATCGCCGTATTGGAATTGGCGACAAAGGTGAGTTATATACATCTAAATTTTACAAAAATATCCTCATCGCGTCGTCCTCGGCTTCAAATTCAACCACAATCCGCCTATGGGCGTTAGAATGATGCCTTTAGTTTCCATTTTCAACGGCAATTTCGTCTTGGCGCTCAAATCGAAATCGAAGTGGCGCAACGTCAGGGACAGTGCTATCTTCGCTTGTATCATGGCGAATCTCATACCTGCAATTTACGAAAAAAAAATTAATAATTTCTAGAGAATGCATATATAAGAACGAAGATCTTGGAAAGTTGCCAATTTTCCCATTACTCTGTATCTTTTAAAAGAGGATAGGGTGAGAAGTTATCGGCCTGATTCACTGAGGGCGCTACAATCGGTAAAAATTCTTGTTTCCTCTTTGGGACATTTATAATTCGTTTTAGAAATGTCTAGAACCATTTAAAACGCGCCAGAATCATTTAGAATTACCTCGAACTAAATATGTCGACTTAACAAGAAGAATAACTTAAAAATGATCAACTTAAAACGGCGATATTTCATTGTCAGGCCGAGAACTTCCAAGCAGATCTAATCTAACGATAAGATAAAAGATAATATATAGACACCTATGCAATTCCTGGGGCCGTCTCCGAACGGTATGTAAGTACCGTCCCATATATTCGATTTGTTTTCGTCCGAAAACCGTTCGGGATCGAACCGCTCAGGATCGGGAAAGTACTCGGGATCCCTGTGCAAACCGAAGCACGGTATCAGCAAGGACTGGCCCTCTTCGATCGTCGCGTTCGAACCGGGCACTCGGTAGCGCTTGGTGCATTTTCTCAGAAACACCGGAGCCGGCGGATATTTCCTCATCGTTTCTAAAAAAAAAATTAAAATGTGAAATGTGGCTGTAGCGCATCGATGTACGAGACCTACCGAACACCAGGGCGTCTAGATAGGTCATTTCGGCGAGCGATTCGTAGGTGAGGCTCGCGCGTTTGGCCAAGACGCGATCGACTTCGCCGCGGGCTCGGCTTTGGACGGCCAGATCGGAGGCCATTTCGAAGAGGGCGAAGCTGATGGTGGTCGAGGTGGTCTCGAAACCCGCCAGGAAGAAGATGAAGGCTTGCGCGGCCGCCTCTTCCATCGTCAATGCCGTGCCGGGCGGTAGCTGCATAACAGAGATGAGCTGGTTGATTGCTTATACAAGTAGAAGGCAGGTGTAGAGGTTACATGTACAAGAAGAAGACGGTTATGGCTTTTTTGTGAATATCGGTCGTGGGGGAATAGGTACGGTGCAGGAATTGTAGCTGTGGATTATGTGATGGTTGTATCTATGGGTCTGTAGGTATACCTTTTTGGTTTCTTCGGTGTCTTCTTCGATTTGGCCGTTGTTGCGCAACCTGATCAACAATTGCAGGAAATCCGGTCGTGTGATGTTGTTGTTTTCTCGATATTCTATCGTTTCTCTGACTACTCTGTTGAAAAATTCTGTCACGTTACCGGAGAAAACGCCTAATCTCAACAGCCTGGCCAACGGCGGGCAACTCCTGATGACGATCTGGTTAGAAATAAAAAATATATATATATAACGGAAATTCGCCAGTGGAATTAGCTAACTAAATAATTTATCTACAGTTGATGCAAACCAAATATCAATGCTACTGTCAAGCTCTACAAAAGTTCGGCAACACTGCCTACTTGTGACGTAGCAAATTATCGGTGACTTGCGTTGATGTTTGTTTTGCACCGACTGTATAGGTACCATTTTGAGTAGATCCCCGACGGTTTGCGTGAAGGCTCTTTTCCCCATCAGCCTGAACTCCGCTTGGGGATCGGTCATGCAATGACAGTCGAGGCCGAAGGCGCACGAGCCAATCACGTCGGTCGTGTACCTAGCCAGGATCTCTTTGATTTCGATCTCGCCGCTTTGGGCGGCCATTTCGTCTAGTTTTTCCATCATAAGATGGCCGCAGGCCACTATCGTTTCGAACATGTACTTCAATTTGCCCGGAGAATAGGCCGGCGTCAGCTTGGCGCGCAGGTTTTTCCATTTGGGACCTGTTTTGGATGCAATGTATTCTTCCTTAGATAATAAATTTAATTATAGGGATGTCCCGATAAGTAATAACTGACATTTTAAATCTAAATGTTTTTTTTTTATTACATAATTTATAATATTTTTATTGGTTTAGAAAGCGGACGTGTGGAGGTTGTATTTGATACGAAAACATCTGGCAAATGATCATCCTGCGCATATTGTAGCACTCATTGAATTGATATTTTTCAGTAGCATGTTATAATTGCTATGAAATTTCGAAATTTTGTGTCCAATTTTTATTTAATAATTAATTTTTATTTAATATCACATATTGTTTCAGTTTTATTGATAAAAATTCTATCTTTCAAATAACACCACAGAAAGAAATCTAACGCTGTCAAATCATATGATCTTGGTGGTCAATTGACATTACCTCCCTTAGAGAATCATTTAGAACTGTCTAAAAACCATTTTGAATGCTTTAGAATCAATTAGAACTGTTTAGAACGCTCCAAAATCATTTAGAATGCTTCAAAATCATTTAAAACTGTCTAAAACCCATTTTGAACGATTTAGAATCAATTAGAACTGTTTAGAACGCTCCAAAATCATTTAAAACTGTCTAAAACCCATTTTGAACGCTTTAGAATCAATTAGAACTGTTTAGAACGCTCCAAAATCATTTAAAACTGTCTAAAACCCATTTTGAACGCTTTAGAATCAATTAGAACATTCTATCTTTAAAACAACACTACAGAAAGAAGTCCAACGGTGTCAAATCAGATGATTTTACAATTTCCACCGATGTATTCTTTTTTAAACAAAATTTAAAACATCACTTACTATTGGGACACCCTTTATATATAATTAAAGTTGACTTACCGGCGATCGAGAAGAGGTGCGCGGACAGGGGATCGTTTTTCTCGTCGTAGTGAATGCCCCTGTCGGAAAAGTGCTGGAAATCCTTGTTCAAAATGTCCTTGATGAGGACGGGATCGAGCGGCAGGAAGACTTTGCGGCTGAAAAAGTACAATCCCACGTACCGTTTGCCCTTCATCCTGTCGTAGATCTCTTTGATTTTATCGCCCATATTCTTGCGCCTGAAGATGGCGTCCGACATGTCGCCGAAGGGAAACGTCGGCTCCAATTGGGGCACCCCCATGTCGCTCCAATACCCGAAGGATTTCTTGTAGTAGACGTAGATGAAGGCGATTGCGCCGAGCAGTAAAATGCACCCCAACATTTCCGTTTTACAACGGCACTTTCAACGGAATAACGAGACGAAATGCATTAAACGAGCTTAAATAATTGGTAACAAAAGAATTGGCTCGAGCTCGATTCAATTACCTAACGAATTGGGCAATTCGGGCCGGTTAATGATGCAAATTGTACGGCGAAGATATCGCGAATGAGAGTCGAGAGACTCTCTCTCTTTCGACCCACATTTGTGTGGCGGAAATTTCTTCTCTCGCCCGAACGAAATAGAAAATGCGCGCCTCGGCGAGAAATCGAAATCCGCGATTTTGTAAACGAATAATTTGGTTAAAATTAAAGCGAAAGAAGTCTGTTTGATCTTTCCATTAAAATTTGTGCGAGATTTCTCTATTTGAATAAAATATACATACAGTTGGTGCAAAACGAATAACATATCAATGCAATAAGCTTAATACTTGCCGAAATTAATTTACTGTTAACAAGGGATGATAGAAAATGTTCAAAAGCAGAATTCAATCATCCATCATGTGTTCTTGTCATTCGACAATTTTAGAAAATTCTTACATTTTGTAAACTCTATAAAAGTTTAACGGCAACGCTGGTTCGATATTTGTTTCGCACCGACTGTATAGCTCCATTTCGACAGGGTCCTTCGGAGTTGCGCGGCGAATTGGAGCGTTTGCACGCGAGCAATTCGCATTTGCAAAAGGCCAACGTGCGGCTGGAGGCGGAGAATTTGGACCTGAAATTGGACCTGGAGAAGTGCGACAAGGAGGTGCCGTCGCTCAGGCGGCAAATCCAGCATTTGGAGAAGTACGTGGAGGCGTTGAAGGCCGAAAAGGAGGAAAACGTCGAGCGGTACAACGATGGAAGGGAGGGGAAGAAATCGTCGGAATTGGAGAGGACTGTATTCGTGTTGAAGAGGGTCGTGGAGAAATTGCAAATTGAAAATAAGCGGTTGGTTAACGGGAAGAGACCGTTAATCGATAAATCGGTGAGTATATTTTACTACAATCAACTACATCCTGTAAAAAAATACAATTTTTGGTTGGTTAATAATGCTGCAAAAAAGAAGAGTTTTGTGGATTTTTTTGCACAAAACTAATGGTTTGAATGGTTCAAAACTGTTCGAGATAGATTAGCTATTTACATCGATTTATCAATTTTATTGCAGCCCGCGATGGAGAAGCTGAAGCGCGACTACCTGCGATTGAAAGAGCAGCATGCGCAGTGCTCGAAGAAAACGTCCCGTCTCGAAATGAGGGACGCGGAATCGAAGAAGTCTTCGAATAGAGAGGAGGAGCTGTCGAAGGAGCTGGACGAGGTGAAGGAGCAGCTCGAATTGAAGTCGGGGCTGTTGGATAAGGTGAAGATATTGCTTCACAGGGCGGCCGCCAAGGAGAAGAGTTTGATGCAAGAGGTGCAACGGGAGAATTGGGGAATTTTATTGGTGTTAATGCTGTTTTTTATTTGTAGATTTCCGAGTTGAAGCTTCAACGTGCGAACGTGGATGAATAGATGTTGGTTCCATCGGATACGGCGCCATTTTTTATATATTATTTTATACGTGTATATTTTAAGATTAAACTATTCATTTTAACTCACCTAAGCGTTTTGAATATTTCTTTAAATTACATCACTCTTTATACACTTTGCTTCATTTCAGATTGCAATATGGTCATATCTGTGTGTTGAACAAAGAAAGATGACAGTGGTCAGAGTGTTTGCAATAACACAAATGACCGAATAGCCCTGGCAGCTGAGGCCAAAAATATACGAAGAAGTAGACATTAATACAAATGTAACTCTTTCATTTCTTCTATAAGTATCTAATGAAAATTGTCTTTATCGCACCTGTAGTCTATATTGAAATCTAAAATGAAACAAACTGTTCAATTTGGTACTTAATAATTAATTTCGTACAAATGAATGATAGAACGACGATGTCAAAACAATTTGACACTTGACATTGACATGTCCAATGCAGCCATTTTCAAATTTAAACGGCTAAAAAAAAACGATAAATAATTTAATCATTCTTATACAAATTAAATTACAACGTAACGAAATAGCACCCATTTAAAACGAACCAATCATTTGGAACCGATCCAATCGCAAACCAAATCGGCCACTTCCAAGCTAGCGTTCAACACGAAAGCGTGATTGAACGTCGTCAAATCAGCATCGATACCCGGATGGTCCTTTTTAATCCGCTCGTAATAACTAAGCGGCGTCCACCCGTCGCTTCTCCCGTACAACAACTTGATCTTATCGATGTTATTTCTAATGCTACGATCGTTCCTCTGCAGCACCAGATCCATTTCCTCGTAGGCCAGGAAGAACACGCGCCTCAACACGCCGGGCTTTATCAATCGCTTGATGCTGTCCAAATTATCCCTCCGGATGCGCACTATGTAAATGTACAAGAGCACCGAGGCGTTTTGGAGCGCCACGGGCAGCGACACGAACAGCGCCGATAGGAGTATCACGAGCCATATAATGGGTTTAATAAAATTAATCAGGAACTTCCCGTTGGGCGTTTTCGCCATGAACTCCAACGTGGGGAACAGCAGATAGGATTTGTCCACTTGTTTTTTAATTGCGGGTTGCTCGAGCATCTCGAGTACCATGTAGGAGCCGATCGAGTGCCCGATTAAATGGATCCTGGCGTTGTGCGGGACGTGTTTCTCGAAGAACTCCACCTGGAAATGGCTGTTAGAAAGCTCGTTGTGACTCGTACGAGTACTCACTTTGTGCTTGACTTGCCCGTCGAGGCCGTACAAGTCCTTGTGGTCTTCCATGCTGGGTATGGCTTCGGTTTTGCGCGTTCTGAAATTGTGGCCGGCGTGGCCGAGGCACCACACGGAGCAGCCCAGTTTCTCGTGGATGCGCCTCTGGAATTTGTCGTAGAAGCTCACGGTGCCCGGGTTGCCGGGTATCAGGATGACTAGATCCTCGGAATCCTCGAATTGTTCGCCTACTTGTTTGCCCACGGTGGCTATCCTGGTGGGGACCCGGTTGATTTCCAGATAGGTTTCCTTGATTTTTCCCATTTTAGATGCACTTTTCGAAAACTTGGAATGAATTCGTACCGTTCCGAGCGAGAGTACAAAGGTTTATGTGTGTTTTTGTCGATGATTATAAATTAACTGTAACCTTCAAAGTGTTGTAGTTGAGTTTTATTGATGGAGAGAGTCTTGATGTGCTCTAAAAATCTCTTAATTAATTGCGAATTAGAACACGTTACACGTATGTTAATGTGATTCTTGGATTATTTGGTAAATTTGTTGATTGGATTTTGGAATGTACCATTGTTTTTTTTGGTTTTGTTGAATTCATAGGTCATGTATATTTCGATGCTAATTTTAAACCTAATCGGTATGAAATGTTTCGGTAAATAATAATAGTTTTATTTACCAATTAGTTTGCCAAAGTAGTCGTAGTCGAGGTCGTTTTCTTCTTCTTTTTTTTTGTGTAAAATATTGAGTGGAGACTTTTACGTTTGGAGGTATCCAGTCATGAAAAAGCGGACTGTACGCTCGTTAGGTAAGAGAACACACGACTGGAACTGGATAGAAGCGAGATCGCATTAAATTTATATTTGTAAAGCATTTAAAAACGGTGTTAATAAAAAAAACTTGAAGTGCACTTACTTTAATAAAAGCCACTTAATCAGATAATAAATGTTTAAATTAAATTTATAACAAAGTACAATAACTTTTGTACTCTATCTCTATATCTATACCCTTGTGGAGATAAGTACATTATAAAAAAGAAATCAGATAAGTTTATAAAAAAATAGTTTATGAAAGGCTGATAAACTTTATCAATAATTAAGTGTGTCAGAGTTGTAAGTTGTAAATATTTTTATTGGGTTTATTAAGTTTGAATATTGTTTAATGGTTACAACCGTAAAACGGACGAAAAACACAAAAAATACTCTTTTAAACTTTGTGAAAATTAGAATTTTCTAAAAAAAAAATAAATTCTTTTCACCCCCTATTGAAATATACAGTGCGTTTCTACCTTACATAAATATACACTCGATTTTTCAATTAAACAACCGATGAATTAATTTTTTTTAAGGCGGCCTCAACCGCTAAAATCACCTGCTACTCCACGTCTCATTAACCCCGCCACATTAACAATTAACTCTCCGTCTCGCGTAAACAAAATGACATAACGCTCCGTGGAATTTATAAATAAATCGCCCGTAAACAAACAAAAGTCGCAATAGAACAGAATTTCATTAAACGGCGCGCACTCGCCGCTCAAACCGCGTAAATATCCGCCGGATCCACCGAGCGCATTATTTATCATCGAATCGACGCCGCGACGACAGCACCCAACAGAGCACGCTCTAAACCAGTGATAAAATTACCGCACGTTTTCGTTAATATTACAACAATGTCGGCTTCTTCAATGGCCAGACAGGCGATCGAGACGAAGGCCATACCGATCAAACGGGTGGTGATTGACGATGCATCGGATTTACCGTCGAATTACTCCTCCACGCCCGGGGGAACTTTATTCTCCACGACACCAGGAGGTTAGTAATTCGAATCCATTTTTTTTTCGCCTAATAAGTTTAATGAAATCGGCTCCGTTTTTGCGCGTTTTGTTATGTTATCTCGACAAGTACTCCATATATTCCATATACAGCGATATTAGGCTCTCCCGAGAGAGTGTGTTGTGTATTATCTAAGTTATCTAAACTCGCGTGCACGTGGAGATATGTAATTTGTTTCGTCGGCCTTGAATCTTGAATTGGAAATCGCCGGTTTAATTTTATTTTACGGCGTCGCGAATTCGATTTTTTTTGAAAGGTGGGACAGGCGAACAGGAAAGTGGGGCGTTTTCGTTTTGTGTTTTTAACTGCGTATATTTTAAATTTACGTTCGAATTCGCTATTTTTAGATTGGTAATCGTTTATTTCGAATTGATAAAATGATAATGAATGCGCTTTGTTTTGTTTCGAATTGAAATGTGGATTTTTTTTGAGTACAAGGGGGGAAGAGGGTGGTTTTTGGGGGATTATTCTCTGCTTTATTCCTACAAATTTAATACCTTTTTATCATTTTAATAAGCATTTAGTTTCATAAGCACACCTAATTATTCGTCTTATTATACAACCTACCTCTTCTTGGCCTCTTACTTCATTATTAAGTCGCAAAAAATTAAAATTTGTACCCCCCATTTTACTCTATAATCATAAAATTCAATCTACCTCTTTCCTGGCCTCCTACTTCATTATTAAGTCGCAAAAAAATCAAAATTTGTACCCCCCATTTTACTCTATAATCATAAAATTCAATCTACCTCTTCCTGGCCTCTTACTTCTTTATTCATCCACGAACATTTCGAAATATCCCCACAAACCACCTATACCCGGCCTCTTACCTCATCGCCTTTCGACAACTACACGACCGTTTTCCAACTTCCAGGCTCGAAAATCGTCTACGAAAAATCGGTTTTGATGAATCTACGCAACTCGCCCATTTCCAAAACGCCGCCGGCCTTCGAAATTCCCGCCTGCATTTCGGGCAGCCCCAACAAGAAGAACTCCCAATTGCCCAACAGGCCCAACGGCCTGTCGAACGGCCTGAGGAGGGCGTCGAAGACCGCCGAAACGTCGCCCAACGCCGAGGACCAATTCGAAATGGACCTTTAAAAGTTGTTTTTGTAATAGATTAGCGGTGGAAGAGTGTATACAGGGTGTCCGAATACAATGTTTAAATTGGGGATGTTATGTTCAATTTTTATTTGTAAGGGCACGCTGGTATGCTGAGGGGTAGGGCGATTTTTTAATCGATTGCTTTTAAAATGATTTATTACAGTTGTATGTAATTTGTTATGTAGGTACTCGCTTTGGTGGGTTTTTAAGCTCGTTTTTAATCGTTACTTATATCAAACTTGTTACTGCATAAATGCATATAAGTAACTTGTTACATTTGCATAAAAATAATTCTGTGCTGTTTCGAACGCGTAGAAGAATTTCATGTTTCGCTCAATTTTGCAATTATTTCGATTTTTAATTGTGCAAGCGTGTATAATTGAAAATTTTACGATTACGACGTATAATTAGAATTACGCCCGTTTACGGAATGTAAACAACTTTTTATCGTACATTTCGTTGTTTTTTTTTTGAATAATTTATTAGTTATCTGCCTGTAAAAATAGAATGTGCATAATAGCACCAATTATTTCTTAATTAGTATAAATAATGCGGCGAATATGAAATTTTTATTTTTGGAGTTTTTTTTTTCAATATTAACTGCCAATTATCACTGTCATTTTTAATATAAGGAAGGGTTCAATGGACGGGTTTTTCACGTTGCTATATTTTACAATCACAATTTCACCACATCTAGGATTTTCAAATTACTTTTTATAATTAAGCGATTTTATTGTTAATTATACTTGTATTAAATGTATATTGTGTAAATATATGTTTTTCTTACACATGTATATTAAATAAAATGTTTTTATTGATTTAGTTTAATTACCTTTTTGGACCGGTAGGTGAAAAATAACGGGGGGTTAACAAGACCAACTAACAACCGCTTAGCAGTCGATAAATTAAAAAAAAATATCTGGAGTAATAAGTTAATTATGATGAAAATGTTATTTTCCATCATGATTCAATTAATTATCACCCTGTATAGCGTTAAGGAAACAGTTATTTTGGGCCGGATGCGGTATTTCATAAGAGGCCATGTAATTTGAAGAAGAAGAAGAAAATCGACATCACAAAAACCAAATCCCCTATTGGCTATGCAACACTCATTACACTTTCTCGTTATTGTAATTTTAACATAGCAACCTGTGAATTTACCGAACAAAAACTTGAAATTTCCAAAACTGTCGACTCCATTTAACGTTTTTCCCCACAATACATGTTCAATTACATACTAATTTTATTCATCCTCTACATATCGACCATCGTCCTGAGCGAAGAAGACCCATAAAAAAACCCTCCCCACATATTCCTTAGAAACGACACAAAAAAAAATAATTAGCCCGCACGAAACATGAAGGTACGAAATTTGACGTTCACGTTGACGTTTACCATTAATTAAATCGTTACCTTTCAGAGCGGACGGAAATTATCAGTTTCAGAGAAAAACCTCTACAGGCGCGAGACCTTCGACTATACGGACAACGGCACGTGGCAGGAGCGCGCCAAACGCAACGTACCGTCGAATCCGCTGATCCAGAAGAACCTGCTGTTCCTGCAGAACTACAGCAAGTTGTTTCGCACGGCGTCGCGCACGCGCAACCGATCCGGCGCCCCCGACGATTTCTTCAAGTCCACGTTGCGCGGCGACACCTTCGATTTGATCAGAGACCTCAACATCGGCGTCCTGCTCAAACCCTCCAAATCGTTAGAGAACCTAAGCGAGGTAATGTATCCTGTATCAATTTGAGCCTACGTTGAAGTTTAATGTCGATATTAAACGACGGTATTTTTATAAATTTCTTACTCACGCTTATTTGTTGCATCGTAATGAACCACATTAGGTCTGAAAAATGTGATTTTTCACTCGATTATCGAAAAATACAAACATTTTTTTATTCATATAAAGTTCACAAAAGTTATAACCGACATTACACTAATGAGTGAGATAAAGAGATTTGAGATTGCACCAGAATGAGTGAGATACATAGTTATTGAAAAGAGATGATGCTACAACGTTCGTTTGACGTTTCTCATCTAAAATAAGCAATGTTGTCAGATGGTTTTACAATTATTTGTTGTTTTATCTATTGAGAGATATTGATCATATATTGTAGGTTAGAGTAGGGTTGGGTTGGGTAAAAGTTAAAGGGTATCATTGGCATTTATATTCGTAAACTACGTTCTTTTTGGTTGATCTGACAACGTTGCAAATTTGGCCTTGTACTTAACCAAACATTGAGCCGTTTTTTCAAATTTAAATTTCATTTTTCTCCGTAAAACGGGAGTTTTCTACTAAACAAATTGTTGTTTGTAGTATTCGCAAAGGAAGCGCCGGTCCCGCAGGACCTTGGTGTCGCCGAAGCGCATCCTCAGGGTCCCGTCGAGGTCGGAGTTGAAGAGGCGCGGGCCCGAAGAGCAGGAGGAGCCCCGCTTGAAGGAGATATTCGCGGCGCGCGCGAGAGACAGCGGCTCCGAAAGCGGCGACGAATTCGGGTTTTCCCTGTCGCAGTGCGGCGGATTTTCCGATTTTCTCGGTGAGTTTTCGACCAACTCGAAATAATTATTAAAAGAATTATCATAATGGTCGAATCGTGACACTCTGGAATCGTTTAGAACGCTCCGGAATTAGAATTGTCGAGAACCATTTAGAGATATACAATTGTCTCGAATCTAGAATGATTTAGAACCATCTAAACTGATTTAGAGAGTTTCTAGAACTGTCTAGAAAAATTTACTATCCCAGAATCTCATTTAGAACTATCCAGATTCGAGTTTTGCTATTGCCATTAGAAATACTGATTCACTTTGCTATTGAAAGTATTACACTTCATTTACCATATAACATAGTGTATTGGCAATACTTTTATCCAGCTTTGATTGGTATTTGTAGATAAAGTCGAGGAGGTAAAGGAAGAAGACGAAGAAGTCAAGGAGGAATCGGAACCGATCGAAGAGGAGGAAATAATCGTCGAAGAAGCGGACGAAGAGAAAGAATTCGATTGCGAATCGAAGCAGGACGTTGATTTCGATCAATTGAATAGCAGATTGAATGTCATATTGAATAACGATATAAAGGTAGAAGAAAGTAGCATCATGAAGTGCGATTGCGTAAGTATTATTATTGTACGATTGTAAAATTGCTGATTAAACGGCGATTTGTTGTATTAACGCAGGACCAGGACCTCAAAGAGGTCGAAAAAATGATCAACATGGCCTCGAAGGAGCTCAAAGGAGTCGCCGCGGAAAATAAGAAAATGATGGAGTGCCTTGTAAGTTATTTAACCAAAAAAAAATAGAAGTTTCCCCGTTAATTTTCGTTTCGTTTTGTTGCAGGATCAAGACCGTAAGTTACCCGACTAATAAATATATGCTATATGCCGATTCGAGACCAATCCTTGTGTAAATGTTTGGCTCTTTCTAGATATAGTTTATAAATGTATAGTATGCGTTTATATTTTGTGTGATTCACAGAGGAGTCCATATTCAAATACAACGCGGAAGCGGACGCGGCCATTTTGAGGGAGCTGGACGAAACGGAGTGCGAGGCCAGGCATACGGCGACCATCATCAGCAAATTGAAGGCGCGCGTGACGGAATTGTCGAAGAAGGAGAAGATGACCGAATGCGAGGCGAAGGAATTGGGCGATTTGAACGCCGAATTGAAGAACCAAATGACCATATTCGAGCAGAAGACGAAGAAGATTCAGGACCTGTTGAAGAACGACAATTTGTTCTCCGAACCCGGCGGTTTTCAACCATCGCAGTAAATATGTTAACACGAATTTATTGTTATTTATCGCCGTACGATACAATTTCTTCTTATCCAGATACGACGAGGACATTCTACCGAAAGTGGTCGTTTGCGGTCTGACCGAAAATTGCATGCCCAAATTGTTGATTTGCGACGACGGCCAATCGAAATGCGCCAAGCAATTCTCGCCCGAAAAGACGAGAAAACCGAGACCCAAAGGACAAGGTCCTTGCACGTGCTTCCCCTGCGGCCCCTGCACGCCCGCCTGCTGCTCGCCCTGTCCCCCTTGCTCGCCCTGTTGCCCGCCCCTTTGCCCGCCGCCATGTTGCCCGCCGCCTAGTTGTTGCCCGCCGCCTAGTTGTTGCCCGCCTCCTAGTTGTTGCCCGCCTCCTAGTTGTTGTCCACCTCCTAGTTGTTGCCCGCCTCCTAGTTGTTGTCCACCTCCTAGTTGTTGCCCGCCTAAATGCCCACCAGCTTGTCCACCTCCGCCTGGTTGTTGTCCTCCACCTTGCCCGCCGAGATGTCCGCCAAGATGTCCTCCAGCTTGTCCTCCTGCTTGTCCACCGCCTTGTCCGCCGAAGGTAAGAACATTTGCATCGTTACTTTTACAAATATGAGTCGCTCGGAGCGGCCCAACTGCGAATTGCATTAGCTGGTGTCTATGAGGAAAAGTGCTGAATATTTCTTAAAGTTTTTTTAAAGTCTAGATGGGTCTAAATGACTCGAGTATGCATGCAAGGTCTGGAAACATAGGTCGAAAAAGTGTCCCGTTATTGGAGTATAAAACAGGGTTCCTAAAACGGCCGCTAGGAGGTGATGTTGTAAAGGACTACGGTTTTTTGCGTATGAATTATGTAGAATTAGCATTATAAAGGTTTTATGCAAACTAAAAATAGATAGAAAATATAAAAACATACCTAAATCAGCGATGATTTTCTTATTAATCCCATGCCTCACGTATCTTCGGTTAATCTATTTCTCCATTTTCTCCTCGAAATGTCGAAAAATAATTTTTGAAGTTTTGACAGCTTGAACTGTCGTTTCACACAACCGCGATTTATATGTAGCGCGACGCTGATTGGCTGAGATAAGTTGGTCCTTTAGAAATATGGCCGAATCTTTTACCACTGATGAAATTTCGCATTTGGACCGCTCTGGCGCTAAGCGACTTAAATATAATAGAGAGCTTTTAGAACCCTTTGCTTTGGTACTAAAGTGCTGTCAATTGTCAAATAAACGTCAAAAACAAGTACTTACGTCCCTCTCTGTCTTATTCACGTTATGGGTCATAGACAGTGTTGTCTATCTTTTTTGACAGTTTGACAGATTTTAGTTATAATGTGAATGGGGCTTTAAAACGTTGAGATAGCATGGGACGGTATATTTCGTTGGATAAAAACCGAGTGGTCTGTGACTTTCCAGAAAAAACGCTGATCGATAGACGTTTTGCCGTTCTATCGTCACAATTGACAACTTCTTTCAAAAGTGCGTGTAACCATTTCGATATTTACCCCCCGTTGTTAAAACCGCTCCGAAATTGTAAGTGAAAGGAAAAAAGCCAAAAACGAAAACACGATCGTAATAAAAAATAAAAATGGAATGAGAAAATCGAACCAAAAATAGAAACGAGGAAATTTAGACAGACGTAACGCGAATACCGAATCGCCGAATAAGGATATTTTTTTTAGGAAATTTTCAAGGTAGGGCTTTTGCGTTAATCCGAAATAAATATACAAACAAATTCATCAGAATTGGGTAGAAATTTTTTTTTTGGGAAAATTTTCAATGTCAAAAAAAATGTATTTGCTACCGTGAGAACCCATTTTCATTTTCCCTAGTTAAACCTGGATACAAAATATTAACGTATCGGTTTGTAAAAAAATATGTTTTAAATAAACGAGGAAAACTGGTTTTTACGGTGACATGTACACTCTATCTAGCGCTTGAATTGCATAATTAAAAAGTATTCCACAATTTGCACGAAATGCGCCATTTTTGCGTTTTATTTATTTACAGAGCAGCCCTTCATCCCCGAAAATGGCTTGCGGTCCCGGTCGAGGAACGTGTCCAGCCGACATCGAAACCCGTCTACAAGAATACGCCCAAAACACCCAGATGCTGGTAAAACAAACCCACCAATTTCCCCACATCATCCCATTATCCCCTCATCCACATCCACTCCGCAGGAACGGCAATTGTACTGCATGGAAAACGAGGTAAAATGCATGCACAACGAACTGATGGCGGTGCAAAGGGAACGCGAACACTTGGAGCACCACAGGAAGATGCTCTGTCCCGCCTCACCCTGCGTCATGCCGCCCCCGTGTCCGGGTAGCCCGTGTCCCCCGTCGCCCTGCATACCCGTTTGCATGCCGCCCCCGCCTTGCATGGCGCCGCCGCCGTGCGTCCAAAAACCCGTAAGATTCCATCACTCCAGCAGAACGAAATTAACCAATCGATGCATTTAGGGTTGCGAGACGCAATTGAAGGAGCTGCGCGAGCAGTACAAGCGGCTGCAGGACGACTTCAAAGGGAAACTGTGCGAGGTGGCCGGCCTGCGGGCCGAGAACGAGCGATTGAAGGACAAGACGAGGCACGCCGAGGACGCCCGAAAGTGCGCCGAGAAGCGCCAGCGCGAGCTCGAGAACGAAATCAAACGATTGAAGGGCGCCCTCAAGCCCAAGGACGCCATCACCAAGGAGCAACTGGTCGAATTGCAAGGCCAATTGGACGTTGCCAAACAGCGGTTCAGAGAAGCCCAAGACGAATTGGACGAGTTGCGATTGTTGGTCGACGATCAACAGAAGCAATTGGACGATTATCGCAACAAAGTATATATATTTTACCACCAAATTTACTTATCTTATACACATACATTTTAGTATTTGGAAGCGCAAGAACGCGTCGAGGAACAGAAGCGCCAAATCGACCTGATGGAAATGGAGAACCAGCGCATCAGCGAGCAGGTGAACCTCGAGATACAGCGCGTCAAGAACCAGTTCCAGGAGAAGCTGCAGGAGCTGATGCCGCTGCCCGACATACTCAAGGCGACGCAGATCAAGCTGCAGGAGGCGCAACAGATGCACCTGCTGGCCGAGCGCAACAACGAGGCCATCGCCAGGGAGCTGCAGATGTACAAGGACAAGGTCAACGCGTTGGCGGGCCAAATCGACAACGTGAAGAGCGAGAGCGCCGTCGGCCAGGAGGCGGTCGAGCGGATGAAGTGCAAGGTGGCCGAGATGGAGGAGCAACTGAAGGAGCTCAACCAGTTGAACAATCAATTGATCACCGATTTGGAGAAGTCGCAGGAGAGGTGCGATGAGTACGAGAAGTTGGCCGATGAAAGGTTGCACGAGATTACCCAGCTCGAGGCGCAATTGCAGGGATTGAGAGAAGAAACTGCCAGACAGGTTGGTGTTGTATACGCTTTATTTTTTTGTTGTGTTATAATTTTTTGTGTTTGAAATAGGTGTCGAGGATAAAGGACAGGTGCGAGATCGTGCGCAGATCGATGCAGAAGCAAATCAACGATTTGGAACGGGAATTGGCCCAGAGCAGGGCGATGGCGAAGTCGGCGCAAAAGGATAGAGACGAGATTCGATGCAAGATGCAGGCGCAAATCAACAATTTGAACGAGAACTTCGAGGACGCGCAGATGAGGATAAAGAACCTGCAGGGGCACGTTAACTTCCTGAAGAACACCTACGGTGATGGTATGTTGAACACGTGCGACAGGGAGAAGGACCAGCCGGAGCCCTGCGAATGCGCGGGGGCTTATTGAGGTGTGTTTGTTGGTTTTTTTGGGGCGCAAAAACGTTTGCACCATGTGAAACTTTTTTTTTTTGATCCGGTCGATGTCTATTATATTTTTTTTATTTAATCGAGTTTCATGTGGTGTGGATTATTTGGCATAAAACTGGTGTTTGTCTGATGAATAAATTTCTTCTTGAATAAACTCTGTTTATTATTTGTAATCGATTCGTATTGAAAATAATTTAAATTATTGCATAAATATTTAAAAAGATAACTATTCACATTGCCGGTTTTGGTACAAAATATCAACAAGTGAGGGACGATTTGAGCCACTGAAAAATAAATGTTCGTTAGCGAATGGAAGTGAAAATTAGATAGGCGTTCTTACCTCTGCTAAATTTAATTTTATACAGCCGCTTTGCAGTGGATCTTTTGCTTCGAATACGGCTAAAAAAATAACAGAAAAATATAATGGTGTTACAAAATGTATAATAAAAACACCGATAAAAACAATCGCTCCAGAAAATGACGTAATTGTCAATTGTCATTTTAATTTTACTTTCGAATAAAAGACGAGAATAAAAAGTACTTACAAAACGACACGGTCAATTTCAATATGGCCGACACGAAATCGCCGAATCTCAAAGTACCGTCTTTCCTCATGTATCTCTGCACCAATGTCGCCAATACGTCGCTGCCCAGCTGGAAGCCGACCTCCTGCAGGGCGTCGCGCAGCCTCTCGGCCTTCAGGATGCCCGTCTTCTCTTTCGTGTGATTTTTGAAGGCCGTCTGCCAGTGCTTCAGGCTGCACATCAGGTCCTTGAAATCGGCGAACTTCAATCGACCCGATCCAGACGCCTGCGGAAATTTCGATTGAAGAAAAATAGTACTTTTTGACAGATGCAATACGGTCCGAAATCGCTTCAATATACTATAGGTTCTAAGTTGTAGCGGTAAGTTCCAACAAGAGAAGGATAGGAATAGTTTATTTGTTTACATTTATCTAATGAGATTCTTTCAATTGACAGTTTTATATTGTTGTTATGGAGCACGGTCGTATATTTCTAAGGTCTGGAAACTTCTTATGCTTATGCATTAGAGAATTTGTCCCGTTATTTGAAGACTTTTTGAGCTTCACTTTTGCGCCGAACGATCGGAGGAACAACTTATCTCAGCCAATCAGCGTCGCGATACATATAAATCGCGGTTGTGGAACGACAGTTCGAGCTGTCAAAACTTCAAAAATTACTATTTGACATTTCGAGGAGAAAATGGAGAAATAAGTTTAACGAAGATACGCGAGACATGATGTTAACAACAAAATCATCGCTGATTTAAGTAGATTTTTATATTTTGTATTAATTTTCAATTGACAGATTTGCATTGTTGTTATGGAGTAACTAAGTAGATTCTTTCATATTGACACTTTTACATTGTTGTTATGGAGTAACTAAGAAGATAATAAAGGGCCATGGCATACCTCGAACGTCATGACGATTTGCCGGCACACTTCGATCGAAGCGCAACTCTTGATATAATCGTTGGGCAAACAGGCGTCGAGCAGCTCCTGCAACTCGAACGCGTTGACCGTCCGATGTTCGTCGGCCAGCTGCAGGAACACCGCCTCGTATTGGCCGAAGCTCCTGCCGTCGATCAGCGGCGGCGCCTTGACGACGGCGCGCTTCAGCAGCGCCGGCGCCGTGTCGAGCAGCTTCAGCTTCAGCGGCTTGCAGGAGAACACGCGCAACGTGAAGCCCGACTCCTGGCTCGGTTCGAAGGTCGTCGGGACGATCAGGTAGCCGCCTTGGTCGAGCTGCCGCCGATGGGCGATCTGCCTGCTGTTGGTGTACTGCGAATTGAACAGCGACTTCGTTTTCTTGAAGAACGCCTTGCCTAATGGTTCGTTGGTGTTTTGAGGTAGCGCGTACGACGTGAAGCCTATTACCTATTAAACACCTGAAGGATAGAGATGGGAAACTGAGAGATGATGTAACTCTACCGTTACCTTAGGTTCCATGATGCTGTGTTGGTTCAACGATACTATCACCTCCTCTGTATCAGCCACCAACAAATGCAATTGGGGATTGATGTGGAACGTGTCGGAATTGTTCCTGCAACCTCCTGCGGAGACGCCCTTTTGCCACGCGCCCTGATAGAGCCGCATCTGCCAGGTGGTTTTGTTGTGCAACGTGGGCTCGTCCCTGCTGGTGTCGCTGTCCAAATGGACTATTTCCAAGTGGGTGAACAGCTCCAGGAACCTGGATAGCGGCATCCAGAACTCGCCGTTGCCCGATTTGCACTCTATCCTGTCCGATTCCTGAGGGATTATCTGCGTTAATTGTTAACGATTTTAATAATGACTTAGAGATGTTTTTGCGATATTTCTGGAGCGCTCTGCATTGTTCTAGAAGACAGGTTTAAATTGTTCTGGAGAATTCGAAATGGTTCTGAAGCGTTTTAAATGATTCTAGACACTTCTAGACAATGATTCTGGAGCGTTCTAAATGAGTTTAGAGAGTTCTAAATGACGATGAAGCGTTCTAAATTGTTCTGGAGCATTCTAAATGGTTCTGAAGCGTTCTAAATAATTCTAGACACTTCTAGACAATGATTCTGGAGTGTTCTAAATGATGATGTAGCGTTCTAAATTGTTCTGGAGCATTCTAAATGGTTTTGAAGCGTTCTAAATGATTCTAGACACTTCCAAATGATTCTGGAGGGTTCCAAATGAATACCATTAACATTCTAAATGGTTCCAAATGGTTCTAGAACGAATTATAAATGTCCCCAAAGAAGAAACGATGATCTGTTGATCTAGACCGGGATCATTTCACCCAACCCTCGTACACCCACCTCATCGGACCATTCGGGCGCTCCGAACATCCAATCGCCCAGCGGATTCTTCAATCTCACGGCGTCGACGCCGTCCCCGTCGAACGTTTCCCTCCTCTCGACGCCCAAAATTCGGTAATTCACCGCGATCGGCTGGGCCCCGTCGGTGGGCCCCTTCTCCTGCCCGCCTCTCGTCTGGTCGCAGGACGACGTCACGATCGACGTCATGTCGAGCAGCCGGTAGAGGAGGCGCGCGCACGCTTGAGGGGCGTCGCGACGCAACGGGATGCTCTCGGCGACGCCGCCCGTCATGTCGGACAGCCCGTCGAGCAGGCTGCCGTATTTCAGCGCCTCGTACGATCCGTGCAATCTGTCGGTGCGAGAGCGATTTTTAATGATTTCAACTGATTTTAAGTGATTGTTAATGATTTTAACTGATTTCAACTGATTTTAACTAGTTTTTAACTGATTTTAGCTGATTTTAACGGATTTCAACAGATTTTGAACTGATTTCAACGGATTTTAACTGATTTTTAAATGATTTCAACTGATTTTAATAGGTTTTAAGGGATTTTAACTGATTTTAAGTGGTTTTAACTGATTTTAAGTGGTTTTAATTGATTTTTAACTGATTTCAACTGCTTTTAACTGCTTTTAACTGATTTTAACTGATTTTAACTGATTTTAACTGTTTTTAACTGATTTTAACTGGTTTTAATTGATTTTTAATTATTTCTGGAGTGTTCTAGATTGTTCTAGAAGATAGTTTTAATTATTTTGGAGCGTTCGAAATGGTTGTGAAGCGTTCTAACTGATTCTAGACACTTCTAGACAATGATTCTGGAGCGTTCTAAATGAGTCTAGAGAGTTCTAAATGATAATGAAGCGTTCTAAATTGATCTGGAGCATTCTAAATGGTTCTGAAGCGTTCTAAATGATTCTAGACACTTCTAGACAATGATTTTGGAGCGTTCTAAATGAGTCTAGAGAGTTCTAAATGATGATGAAGCGTTCTAAATTGTTCTGGAACATTCTAAATGGTTCTGAAGCGTTCTAAATGATTCTAGACACTTCTAAATGATTCTGGGATTTTTAACTGATTTTTAACTGATTTAAACTGATTTTTAACTGATTTAAATCGATTTATAACAAATTTCAACTGATTTTAACTGATTTTTTAGCGATTTGCACTGATTTTTAATGGATTTTTTTTGCAAATACTTTAACCAAAGAGCCACCTACTTGGCGTAGGCTTTTTCCAGCAAACCGGGCCAGAAATGTTCGGCCGTCTGCGATTGGAGAAAGGCCAATTTCCCGTGAACGGTCGGCAATCGATCGTCGACCAAAACTTCCGTCCATTCGCCGCACCACCACAACCGGAACCGGAACACGCCGGCATATTGATCGCCGATGAACGATTGATCGGCCGGCACCACCCTGTAGAAGAGGCCTTTGTTCGTGTACAAAACGGCCAGGCAGGATACCAGCCATTTGTCGCCTGTAAAATCGAGGCATTCTGATGTGATTGCTTTTTTTTTTTGTAGGTACCTATATGAATAAAATTTGATAAATCGTTTGTAGTTACCCATTTTTCCTGGTGTGATGTCGAAATTGGCCGGGCCATCCTGTATAAAATGAGGCCTGTTCGACAGTTCCTGAAACGATAACATATCGAGTGACAGTTTGTGTCATTACAATTTTTCACTCTGACAACTGTCATTTTAATAACCTTTCTTTGTTCCACTCATAGAAATGACCATATTGCAATCGGAAATGGAGCAAGAAAATGGAGTGAGAAAGTTGTTGATTGATTAAGTTACCTTTGGTCTCTTCCAAACGAATTGAAATGGCGGCGTTTGATGGTAAAAGACTGATAATTGAGCTGCAGGAAAATCCGGATCCTCCCAAAGTTCGCCCCTTTTCAAACAAGCCCTTTTTATCCGTTCGTATTCGCTCATGCCCTGTGAAAAAAAATTTATATTTTATAGTATTATTTACGAAATTTAATTCGCCGATTTTTATTAATAATCTCGTATATAACAGATTTTTCGTTCCGACGACGCGCCTCGATTAGAATAGACACTTTCATTATTTATTTTCTAATCAACAACAAACGAAAAAAAAAACGGTAGAGTCGTATTGTTGACAAAAATTACGACCGTAAAAGGAACTTTCACTAATTCAATTCCGAAACGTATTCGATTTCCTACTAACACCGTTATAAACGTATATTGTATATAGAAATTTCGGATTATTATTCTCCATCAATTACATCAAGCGAATTGAAACACATCACACATTTTTTTAAAGCGCCTCTTTTTACACATTTGTTGTGGCTCTGTTTTAAATGGGACACCCTGTATATATACAGGTTTGATTCGAAGCAAATGAAGTTTTTACTCGACCGTTTCGCAAATGCGTTTCTTCCGCCGACGCGACCGGAATATACAAAATCTATCCATCAAATATAATAATCTTTTACAAATTCCTCCACGCAATGAAATGAATAAGCAATGGCGCAACGACGAAACCCACCTTCACCGATTTTTACTCATTTTTTAGCCCGTTCTTGCTCATTGTTAACGATACTCTAACGATCTTTTGCCGATTTTTATCGAGTTACTTTTAGCTAAATCCATCAAACATCTAGTAACATCCTCCGCGCGACAATTTGTGACCGTTTAGCGCCATTGCAAAAGGCCATTTCGGGCGGTTTGATTCTCATAAAAAAAAAATACTACCGCGAGATTCTCGCCTTTAAATCCGGTGACTCACCGAGCGAGGGCGGCGTAAAAATTCGCTCCAAACTCAAAAATTACCGAAGGTGGAATCGTACAACGTTTAGCTCTCGTTCGATTCGAAAAAATGGTATTTATTATCTACAATTTTTGGATTTTTAATTCGAAAAAAAAATACTTTTTATGCAGGGTGTTTCAAAATGATATGCTAATATTTAAATTTAATAATTCCGAATCACCATTCTTCGTCTGAAATATATTCCACACGCGTATAGTATCAACGAGTGACTACATTATAAACAATATTATTAAATATATAGACGGGAAAATACGCAATTATCAACGTAGGTAGTCATACCTGAGCCTGGGAATGAACGATTACCGTTAGAATTTGCAATAAATAAACTGGTGCGGTGCGTTAATTATACTATACAAGACCACAAGGAAATGATTGGTATCTATAAAAAAAATCATTTGTTGATTGCCCATTGTGCGCTCTCTCTCCAAATCAACCCGAAAAATAAAATAACCGTAGAGGTATATCTAAACATTAACAAACATAAAAAAACCAACACATTATTTTAATTCGCTTTCACTTTCACTCAAAACCGACGTGAGAATAATTCCCTTATTACAATAAAATAAAAAACAACGTCGATACAGTTACAAACGTATCTATATCTATATAAAGAAATCCGCACTAAAAGTACTCCAAAATAAGTACTCACTTTATCTTCTTTTGGTCGAAACGGAATTACATAGGCGGCAGATTTATCCGATAGAAAAACCGAATCGACATCGTAAATCCCATTCGGAAAGGTCCTCTACAAATCGAAATAATCTCCTACATAAATTCGAAATCGTCCTGAATTCGCACGACGAGAGTACATCACAGATACGCGGAGGAATTCCAACTGGAAGAACGAGAACGGAAGAAAAGACACGGCGCGAGGAAGGCGGTGAAACGGAGGAAAAGGCGGCGTTGCCGGCGCTCGCTCGCTTTATCGGAGATTTAGGGAATTATACAGATATTATTGCATTACTGCGTTTTGGTGATGGATCTGTGTATGTGCTTATTTACAGGATTCTTTCTTTTTTTCCTCTCCCTTTCAGTTCTTTTTTTCGGAAATTTATAATTTATAATTACGGTTAACTGCTAGGTTTGTTGTCTCATCTCATATTGATGTCTCTTAAAATTTTCTATTTTTAATAGGTTTCTTGTCTTATCTATGATTGATATCTCTACTATAATTCTCTACTGTAATTATTATCTACTACTGTAGATAATTAGGTATGCATTTTTACCATTTTCGATGTTTTTTTTTTTTAATCTAATGCACTGCCTTTAATTTGACAGTTTTAAATGGTTCTAGATAGTTCTAAATGATTCCGAGTCGTTCAAAATGAGTTCTACACAGTTCTAAATGACCAAATTATTATATTATATAATACAGGGTGATTCGTTATGATTAATACGGTAATATACCGGGTGACCTCCGCATAGTAATAAAATATTGTCCTTTCACAATGGAACGCCTCGTATAAATCCGGTGACGTGTCTCGTTCGGACACCTGTTAACTCTTTCTCGATCGATCGAGCGGCGCAAAATCGCTATGCGTATAATCCGTATGGTTAACAATTATCCGATAAAAGAAAGTACGAGATATGCATATGAAGATTTATTTCGCGGTACGTCCGATAGCGGTCGAAGGAACGCGAGCAAAGAGGTCAACGGCGTTGCCGATGCGACCGGTGTTGTCGCGAAACTGCCGATTTCTTGTTCGGCTTTATTTTTTTTGGGTTATACCAGTTTCAAGTGTAATTTGTGTTGCATAAGAATGGTTAACTTTTAACACATCACATCAAAGGCCGTCGAAGCGATAGGAAGTTTGACATTTGACATAATTGACAGCTAGTGTTAGATTCGGACGAATAGGAAAACTCCAGCATATAAATAATTTAACCAATAAAAAGGGTTTTTTATATAAAAAACGAAGATAATATAATGTCAGTACACGCTTCGGCTTTTTACATACGATTTTCGAATTAATTTACGGGAGGAGCGAATACGAAACAATCATGAGGTCATGTGTTGTCGAATCAGGTGCTATTGACTCTCGTCATTATTAGTTTTTTAAGTGCATAATGTGATAGAAAATCGAAAGACGACCACCAGAAAATGGAGAGTACGCATTTCTACAGAGTACTGTACGTTTTAGTACACGCTATCTATACAATTGTAGAGGTAATTTGGAACGCGACGTTGTGGATCGTTCGCGAATTCGAACTGATACATTCGCGATACAAAAACGTACGAAAAAGACTGTTTACCCTAAGCAAAACTCCGAAACATTTAACCGTCATCGTCGGCCACGATGATTGTAGTTTAAGAGATTTAACCAACCTCATAATTTGGTGCATAGCCGTCGAAATTCCCTATATAAGCTTCTACGATTTCAAAGGTATAACTCACCGACATACTAGCTTATCGTTTACAAGACTCACCGATTGTAATCCGTAGGTAAATTGAAGAAAGAAGAGGAGCGATTCCGGTCGATGGTAGAGTCTCAAAAGCATTCCACGGACCACATCGTGTGGCACAGAACGGCCGGAACGTACAAAAACGGCTTCGTGGGCCGTAAAATCCACGTGAAAATACTAACGGAAGAGGACGGTAGAGAAAACATAGTAAATCTAACTAAAGAATTAGCCGTAGATAGAGATAGAGCGAACGGTATCAGTATAGAGTCGATTAACGGATGGCTGCTGGAACGGTTCGAGTTCCCCGATCCCGATATGGGATTGGTCTGCGGCGGGCGTTTGCACATCCTGAACTATCCCCCCTGGCAGTTGAGGTTGACTGAATTCTTTAGATTAAACGATTTATCCAACATCACATTTTCCTCGTTTTTAGATTACTTGGAGATGTTTTCCAAATGCGAACAGAGAGTGGGAACGTAATTTTTTTTTTATAGTTTACATTTCAATTATTCTATTTATTAAATAAAATCGTACTGAATGTTACCTTTATTTTTTTTTATTTTCCAGATAACGGTTATGCTACATTGTGTGTAAATTTTATTAGTACCTTTTGACCTTCGCTTGATAAGAATTCGACAAACTCAGGAAATACTAAAGATTTCATCTAGTCATCAGTTTTTTTTTATAAAAACATAATTTAATAAATACGAATAAGTTAATTTACAACTTAAAATCTAACAAAGCTGTGTTTCAGCAAGCACATAAAATATTAATAATGGAATAGTTGAAAAGTTTCAATCCTTAACTCAAAAGATCCAATATATCATCATTCGACAAACCTTTATTACTATTATTGGAATTACTTTGCGAATTGTTTGGTAACAAAGGCGCTTGGAGCCGATTCATCGGTACTTTACCAGCATTGTTATTATTAATAGGCAACAAATTATCCAAAGCACCCCAATTTTGCGTATTCGTATTCGCATTCGAAGATTTCCAATTATAACTACCACTACTATTACTAGATGTAAAAGTATTATTAATCGTACGATTGTAGTTAGTATTACTATACGTCAAAGCATTACCAGCACTAGTTTGATTATTATTAACCTTATTACTACTAGGCAAACTCATCCAATCGTCCATTAAAGTAGAAGACAAATCCTTCGCGATAGGTTTAGGTGGACTTTCGATGCTCTTCGGCTCGATTTTAGGTTGATCCGCAGCCTCCACCGTTCGCAAACCGTTACCCGGCACAAACGAATCCAAACCCAAACCGGAAAAGGCCTCGTCCAAACCGACAGCAGCCACTTTAGGCCTTATCACAGGCATGTTACCGGCCAACACTTTCTGCTCGTCTTTCACGCTATTCAATTGCTCCAATTTGGTGCGGTGCTCGGCTTCGACCGTCCGAAACATCTCCTTCACCAGGCCGGTGAGGGCGTCGAATTGCGCTATGCTCAGCCCGTTTTCGATGCACAACGGTATCAGAAACGGCAACACCCGCGACGCCATGATCTCCTTCGTGATGCCCAATTTCTTGTGGTTCGCCGCCAGCTTGTAGACGCCCAAGATGCCCATGATGACGGCCGGTTCGCGCGACGGGATCTGCGGCAGGAAGGGCACCACCTCGTCGAGCACCAGCCACTTGTCCAGGTGCTCGAGCAGCCTGCCCAGGCACAGCAGACAATTGACGCGCACCGATAGAGTGGACGTGTTGAGGCAGAGCCTTTTGATGCGCGGCAACAGGCTGTTTTTTACGTTCGAATGGTCCAGCATGCCTGCGAACGTTGGCAATACAGCCAAACATAATTCGTGTATCTGCGGAGAATCCGCATCTAAACCTCTATACAACATTGGCAACACGTGCTGTTGGATATCCTCGGACGGTGTCAGTTTCAACAGCAACTCCATCCTTTGCAGGAATATCAGGAGAATCTAAAAAAAAAAAAAAACACTATTACATATCAACGAATTAATAAGATGTCACGATTCGTACCTGTACCGGTTCCATAAGCGTCATCAACGGTTTAATCAAAGGTAAAATTGTGTTGCGATATTCCTGCTGCGAGCAATCCTGCGCTATATCCAGTAAGCTCGGTAAGATGAACGGAACCATAGCGGGCTGGCCTAGATCGTGCGATAAACAAGCCACGACCCTCTGCACTTTCACCCTGTGCGGCAATTTGGCCAAAGTCTCCGGCAGGCCTTTGTAGAAACGGGATTTTTGCAGGTTGTCCCATTGCAACACCGAATCCAAATAGATTAGAGTTTTTATACCCACATCGTCGAAGTACGGTATCTGAAAACATTCCAATTACTACACAAAATCGTACATTTTTAATTAACACATTTACTTTAATAAATTGGTGCGCATCAGGTCGAGCATCCGGAGTTACATTCAACAACAATCTAACAAACTCCCTTAATTCATCGGGTACGAATTGCATTCGACCGGTAGTCAAACTAGACAGTTCCTGCGCTCTCGATTTAAACTGGTGCAAATCCCGCAACGGTTTGAAGCATTTCCTATCGGGCGAATTAAGCGCGTACGCCAGCATGCCGAGCGAAAACATATCGCTAGCCGGCGAATGCTTCAGCGAAATAATACATTCGGGCGCTAGATAATCCAAGTTCGGTTGGCACACCGACGGTACGGTCGGGCTGTACGCCTCGAAGGGATAACTGGCCGGAAGATTGGGCGGGTTCGAGTTCAACGAGCAGAAATCGAAGCAGAATATCTTCCAAGCGCCTTGGGCGTTGATCACGATGCTCTCCGGGCTGATGTTCTTGTGCAACAACTTCACGTCGTTGTGGAGGAACGCCAGGCCTTCGCTGATCTGCAGCAGGCCGTATTTGATTTCGATGTCGAAGAGCTTGTAGTCGGACATGTTGCCCGGTTGGGGCATGTTGTTGGTTTGGCCCAAAACGTTGGCCAGACTGGAAAAGACCGGTTCGGCGGCGAAGGCCAAGCTGTCTCGGCTCTCCTCCAGCGGGTGCTGGACCGTGAGGATCTTCGGGTGGCGGATTTTGGTGAGTTGGACGACGCCCCTTCGGAGCGTTTCTAATATCAGTTCCTTGTCGTTTTTGTTGTATCTGTCCAATTGCCTTTTTTCGAATACGAATATCGAACACTCCTGGCGCGTCGAGCGTTTGTTTCCTTTGTAGATTTTCCATAATAATCCTAAAATGTTCGCTCGAATGAGTGGTAGTTCCTTGTAGTTGGCTAGGGGAAGTCTTACCTGGACCTGCTGAAGCGATGTGAGCGGACGATTCGAATTCTCTCGTTACAGGATTACCCGGCAGGACGCCCGAGAGCTGCGAGACTGTACTGTGCACCGAACTGCTCACTTGGTTGATTACTTTATTAAAAACATCCATTTTTCGTTTATTAAAAATTGATAAACTTTATTAGTAGTTCGACTTGACATTTGAAAACGTCAAACAAAATGACATTCTTCTTCTTTTTTTTAAGTTATTTATCGTAGTAAGACAAATGTCAACATTTAATTTTGAACTTTTTTATTTTAGATTACTCCTTAATAATCCCTAATAAATAAAAATTGTAATAAACCTAAATAAAATATAACAGTACTTTGTTTCTCTATAATACATTTACGCGACCGTGCTTATGATTATGACATAATTGACATATCTTGTACGCCAAAATAAAATAGAAGAAGAATATAACCTCAACATTTGTTTATTATTGCAACAATTTTCATCGAAACGAATTTAAATTTAAACAATTAAATAACGACAAATCGAGATGTCGGTGGTGATCGAAACCACCCTGGGCGACATAACAGTCGACTTGTACCTCACGGACAGACCGCGAGCGTGTTTGAACTTCCTGAAGCTATGCAAAATCAAATACTACAATTACAATTTGTTCCACACGATCAGCCGCGGCTTCATAGCCCAAACGGGCGATCCGACGGGCTCGCGCAAGGGCGGCGAATCGATCTACGGCGTGCTCGACGGCCCCGCGAGGCGCTACTTCGAAGGCGAAAACGAGCCGAGGATCAAGCACACGCGCCCCGGCCTCCTCTCGTTCGTCGGCAACGACGAGCGCATGATAGGCTCCCAGTTCTTCATCACCTTGGGCGACGAGCTCACCTACTTGGACCACAAGCACTGCGTGTTCGGAGAGGTGGTCGAGGGATTCGAGGTGCTCGAGATCATCAACGAAACCATTTGCGATACGGACGACAGACCCTACCAGGATGTCCGAATCGCGCATACAGTTATCCTCGACGATCCATTCCCCGATCCGAAGAGCCTTAGGGTGCCCGATAGGTCCCCGTCGCCCAGCGCGGAGAGACTGCAAGGCGGCCGGATAGCCCCCGACGAGGACATAGACGAGACCGAAGGCAAGTCAGCGCTAGAGATAGCCGAATTACAAGCCCAGCAAGAGGCCAAAGCCCGAGCTACGATACTGGAGATGGTCGGTGATATACCCGATGCGGATATCGCACCGCCCGAGAACGTTCTATTCGTGTGCAAACTCAATCCAGTCACCACCGATGAGGATTTGGAGATTATATTCAATCGTTTCGGTAAGATAGTGTCGTGCGAGGTGATCAGGGACAGGAAGACGGGCGATTCGCTGCAGTACGCTTTCATCGAATTCGCCGACAAGAAGTCCTGCGAAGACGCCTACTTTAAAATGGATAACATCCTGATAGACGATCGAAGGATACACGTGGATTTCAGCCAGAGCGTCTCGAAGGTGAAGTGGCTGGGAAAGGGGCGAGTGGTGCATTACGACGAGCAAGGCAAGCAAATGAAGCAAGGCAATAAAGATATCGGAAAAGGTGAATTTGTTATCATTTGTATTCGTTGCGCGATTAATAATTGTGCGTTGCAGGTAATTATAAAATACAGAAGAATGATAGAAGAAGGAGTCCTTACGTAGAAAGTAGGAATAGAAGGTACAAATCGCGATCGCCGAAATCGAGAACCCATCGGAGTGAAGACAGTTCGAGGAGACGCCATTACGATGAGAAAAGAAGGAGATCCAAGTCGCCCGAGAAATCTTACAAATATTCCAAGTAAATTAATTACAATTACGATTAATTACAATTTGGTATGATTAACACGTTTTATTCAAGGGATCGGTCGTATTCAAAAGAAGATAGTTCGGACGGAAGAAGAAAGAGCAAAAAAAACAATCACGAAAGCGATAGAAGGAAACATAGAAAGAGAACGCCGGATAATTCCAGCGACAGCGATAGCTCTTATAATAGAAACAAAAAGAAATACAAGAGTAGAAAGCATTAAATTGTACTTGAAATATTTATATTTTCAATAAGATAAGTTTCGTATATTGATCGTGTAATTTATTCTCAAACTAAATCACTAAGAATAATATCATGAAAGCACTATATGCATATAGTGCGTTCAAACTGAATCCCTGTTGATGTCACAACGATAATTCCTTGAATAGACAATCTGTAGAATAAAATTTATGCATATAGTACGTTCAAACTGAATCCCTCGTGATGTCACTACAATATTACCACGCACTATATGTACCTACAGTAAATTTATGCATATAGTATGTTCAAACAGAATCCCTGGTGACGTCACAACAATGTTACTTTGAGCGCACTATATGTAGAACAAAAATGATGTAGTTATTATTTTCGCGCCAGTTTATCAATCTCCAATTTTTCAAACAAATCATCTACTGGATCCATTAAAATGCCTTTTCCGCATTAATTCGCACGCCCCCTTCTCGTCGACATCCGCCCGATAAATTGGCCCCTTCAAATCGTCTCGCCCCCGTCGAACCGGCGCGTCGCGCACGCGCCCCTCTATTTCCAGCTAAACATCCAGCGACCATCCAGATCTATCCAGTATCCAGTCGCTCGCCAGCCGGGACGTTAACGATGGCGCTGCGCCTCGAGTTTCCCGTCGTCTTTTACGCGCTGATCGCCGCCACCGCCGCCATTCCCGCCTCTCTCATCGACGAAATCAAATCCAGCGAGATCAGGAACAACAAGGGTGAGGTTTCCACGCGTATTTTTTTTTTGTAACGAATAAAAGCCTCTGCGGTATCGATTAATTGATAGTAATTGGTATAATTACGTAAAAGCGAGATTCGAATGGTAAACGTGTGTGAAGTTCTGCGCAATTTATGCAACTCCTGTTGAACAACAACTTGTTGATCAATATATGTACCTACGTTCGATTAATTGCAAATCGATGGGTTTTTTAAAATTCTCGAATTATACAGGGTTTCTATATTATTTTGTTGCATAATTTTTGCTCCAGTCAAACGGGCCCACCCCGTAGTCAATTTGCTGAACGCCGAATCGAACTCGAACGATCACCTGCCGTACTTCGACCGCCCCACCGCCATAAAACGAGGTAAATAACCGCCCCCCCGATAGTACCTTACTCGATTCTACCACCCGCCCGCCCCCGCAGGTATCCACCAGGACCCCGGGAACCCGCGGGACTTCGTCGGCAGGAACGCCCTGCCCAACGTGTCCTCCAGCCTGTTCAGGTACCCGGACGGGGGCGCTTTCGACGACGATAAGACCCTCGGGGAGTACGAGAAGGGGTACCGGTACGCCACTGGACGGGAGTCCCTCGACGAGGCCCTGCAGAACGCCGTTTTGAAGTCCGAGCTCTACGGGGATCCCGCCGCTGTCAATCAGTACCGGTGAGTACTGTACTTTACTTTTTCTACCAATTACATGCAACATAATGCAATCCTCGTTTATTCATTAACAGGGTTATTAATTATTAAGGTCTCTGGCGGCTCGGGTACGAAGAAAACTCTTATTGGAACTCACAATATTTAATGATATCAACAAAAATATACATTCATGCAAAATACTCAACTCCGAAACTAATGGCGTTTTCCATTGGTAAAATAGTGCGCACTGAAAGTGCACTCAAAGCAAAATTTTTGTTCCATTTGGTGCACTTTGCGAGTGTTTTGATTTGCATTGGTAATCTAACTACTAAAAAAAACACTTTTGTCCACCAAATAAAACAAAAATTTTGCTTTGAAAACGCCATAAACGTCTATTAATGTCATATGTCAAACTTGTCATTTTTAATGTCATTTCGAATTTATTTTTGGGATAAAAAAAAATCAACGGCGATATTGGTTTGCAGATATTACGGGACCGACGCCTCGAAGAAGCGGAGACGTCGCGACGCCGACAAACTTAGGTGGGTGGTGGTGTGATTGAGATTTTATGCCGGCGGAAAAATAGATTGAATCGCAAATTTATTCGTATAAGCGTTTCACGCGTAATCGAGTCTCGTTGATCGTTGAAACAAAACGGCGCGTTATATCGTTTGCATGAGAGTTTATCGGCGATTACCGAGGCTCTATGGAGCGTGATTATTTGAGAACTAGAGGATTAAATTTCTCTATAATATGATATTCTCGTTGCCGGGACAGATGCTACCTAGACCATTTGCGAGCAGAGTAGAGTAAGAGCGGAGTGCCGGAGTAGATTCGATTCAGAGTAATTTGAGAGTAGATTCGATTCATATAGTAGATTCAGAGTGGTGTAGCTTAGAATAGATTCAGAATATAGTAGAATAGGACAGAGCAGAGTTGATTAAGAGTAAAGTAGAGCAGAGTAAATTCGATTCAAGAGGAGATTCAATTCAGAGTAGATTCAAAATATTTGTTCCAAACTTTACACTCTCACTGTATACAGTATAGATTATATCAACACAAATTAGGACACACAGGGTCGCAAATGTCCCAAAGGGTCTCTCATCTGTCCCTGTGATTCGATTTTCTCGTCTAATTACAGTATATTTAAATTATAATCAAAAATCGCTTGTTTGCCTTGCTTGATAATTACTCAATTAAGCCCCTCTCCTACACCCCGATTTTCCCTCATGTCCTGAATCCCGAATAGGATTACAAAAAAAAATTCCATCGATTTCACGCCGCGATTTATGGAAATAAGGCAACAAGAATATAGACAACCTGTTGACGCACACACGTCCCCATCGATTCATCGCCCCCGACTTATTTTTTCCCCCGATCGCTCGTGGGCGTCGCGGCGAAAATCACGTAACGTCGCGACGCATAAATTATCCCGCAGGCTACAATCGCGGCTCAAGCGCCAGGCGGAGCTGTCGCCCGACGACGTCGTGGCGCTGCTGTCGCTCTACGAGGCCGACCGGCGACACCAGCGCCCGGTACCGCCGGTACCGTCGCCCGACGACTACCGCCGCCCCTACGGCGACGGCGGCGCCGACGGGAATTGGCTCGAAGCGCCGGTACTGCCGCACGCCGATCTCTACGAACCCAAGTACTACTACAACGACGATGCTAACGATGTCTCCGAGGCCGACGGTAACGCCGGGACTCCATGGAGAGGATTGAAGGTACTGTATACTAAATTCCTGTCGTGATGTCACAACCATATTAACCTAAACGCACTATATGTATGTAGAATAAAATATAAGCACGTTCAAACTTACCTACTAAAAATGATTTCTAAAATTGAATTTCTATGAGTGAAACAAAGAAAGGTTATTAAAATGACAGTTGTGAGAGTGAAAAGTTGTAATGACACAATGTCACTTTCTCTTTTTTTTTGTAAGTGTCTAATTGAAGTTGTCTTTATCTTTATCGCACCCATGCCTATAAAACCTTATATTGCAATATAATAGGCTATGGATGCAACAAAGACAACTTCAATTAGACACTAATAAAGGAAAAAGAAAGAGTGACATGTCATTATGTCAACTTTTCACTCTGACAAGTCTTATTTTCTTAATATATCAATAGATGAAAAGGAGGCCGTCGGATCCGACCAGAGAGCTGAGATACCTGAACGGGCCGAGCCGGAGCGACTTCTACACGTTGTCTCAGCTGCTGAGCGATCAAAAGAGCGCCGACAGCGGGCCGGTCTACCGCCGGTTGGTGCTGTAAGAGCCCAACGTCATACGTCAAATGTCATTTATATTGAGCGTCATATCAGAGATATACGGAACCGCGGTACCCTTCGCTAGATTTTATTTATTGTTACCATTGGTGTGTTTGTTTCAATGTGTAAGGTGAGCAGTCAGTATAATACGAATATTTAATAATGTACTATGGATGTTATATTTATTAAATATGTTCTAATGTTAAGGATAATAAAATGTGCATCGATGTAGGGCGATGGTTATTTACCTACTACGCTGAAAATTTTTAACATTTTTGAATCGGTTAGGGAAGAGGCTTCGTTTGGGCTGCGCATTGTGGAATCGTATTTAGGTGAGGAAGCTGATGTTGATGTGGGTGAGCTCGAGATCATTTTAACATCGATGTAAGAGGTAGCGAGGTTGCTGAAATAGACGGTGTAATCGTCCCCGATGATGACGTTCCACCCTTGGGGGGCGGTGTGTTTCTCGTTGAACAGCGAGCAAAACAACTTGACGCGTTCGATTTCCGTGGTGTCGAAGGTGTTCCAGATTTTCTCCAATGCTTCTATGGCGTCCACGCCCTCGTCGGTGCTGACGTTGGTGTCTTCTATCGTGAACTGATTCGTCAAAAAATTCATTACTTAGGTACCATCATGGACAGCTCGATCTCACACCCCGATAGTTTCGCTGAGCAAGCAGTGTTGCCAGCTTTACAATGGACTCTCAAAGGGCTGGATTGAATGTATTTTACAGGGTGGCGCATTTGAAAAGGAAACGGAGGTGTTTCCCCAACCATTCAGAATTGAATAGGGAATTGGGCCGTGTAATAACTATACATCATTAGAAAGGTTATCTTTTTCTGAATGTAGCAAAAAAAAATTATTAAAATCTGTCGATTCGTTTTCGAAATATTTTTCTTCAATTTTTTCTATCCGAAAACGGCTCTGGTTCCTTTTCATTGGGCCACCCTGTAGAAATGTATGCTTTAAATTTACTTACTACAGTTTCACAGAAGGAGAAGCGTAAGCTACTAATAAGTAGTACACTCAGAATTAAAAGGACTTTCATCTTGGGTTCGATACGATAGCAATACACTTTTGAATAGATATTTTTTTCAATTTTTATATATCAACCCTAATCTATTATAATTCAAAGCAAACATTTACCTGGAAATTTGATAAAAACGGATTACAAACCTCTTCAAATCGCTGTATTTTACATGACTCAAAGATCATTGGAAACATTTGATTACTTTAAATTAATTTCAATGCTTATAAACAAAGTTCCTATAGTTAATCCATAACAACAATGTAAATCTGTCATTTTGTAAGAATCTCCCTAGTTACGCCATAACAACCAATGAACAACTGTCAAGTTAAAGACGTGTTTAAGATAAAAGTGGGGCGCTGAATTAATACGGACCAATCTGTATAATACAGGATTTATTAAACATACTACAATACAATAGTACTAATTACTAGAACATTCAATTAGATACTAAAAATTTTCAACAACGTAGAGTTGGTTTTGGCCGTCATTTTGACATCGATGAAAGAGGTGTTTAAGCTGCTGAAATAGACGGTGTAATCTTTTCCGAGCACGACGTTCCATCCTCGGGTATTGTTGTACGATTGATTGAACAGCTCGCAGAAGAGTTTAATGCGCGCCTCGTCGGTGGTGTCGAAGTCATTCCAAATTATTCTCAACGTATCAATGGCGGCGCTGCTTTCGGCCACAGTCACGTTGGTCTTTTCTACGATAAACTGGAATGATATAATACATAATTTAATAGTCTTCGAGTTTAGAGGATGTAGGTGAGTATGGAAATATACAGGTAGGTGCAAATTTTTTTTCAATATGGGTGTGCAACAAAGATTATTCTTGTATGAGGGAAGAGGAAAGAGTGATATGGGTGGATAGTAATTTTCTCACTCTAATTCACTATATTTTAATCATGTATGGGTGTAACAAAGACAACTTCAATCAGTTTCATATAAAAGAGTGGTGATTATGGAATTGAAACTTTCTCACTCTGACAACTGTTATTTTAATAATCTATCTTTGTTCAACTCGTAGAATAGACCGTATTGCGAACAAATTTGCATTTATATGAGCATTGTACTTACTGTGTAGGTGTCACTGTGCACTAAGTACACGGCACCGAGTAATACACTGAATACCACGAAAAATTTCATTTTTTCTACGTTTTAGGTACTGCTCGCTCTAAGAATATTGCGATTTTAGTTACTATTTTTACATATGCAACTTATATAGCGAAACTAATCTAAGATAAAGCGCATAATTACCTAGAAACTAGATCGAATCTGATACTATACTCTATTTAAAGTGATCACTTACATTTACCAGGAAATTTGATAAAAATTAACAAAAAACACGAAAATAAAACGATAAAATAACATTTTAATGGCAACGTAGGAATATAAATACATCTATCAAATGAAACTTATAACAATACCTTCGCTAACAATCAAACAGTAGCCAATCCTCTTAACTATAACTATAACAAATCAAATGCATTTGAACCAAAACAACAAGTACACGGAATCCACCCCAAAACGAAGCGAATTTACTGTTTCAACTCCGCATAGTACCCGAAATGCAGCCGCAACTGCTCCAAGAACATAAACGTCAAAATCGTCTGCGGCGCCAGCCGCACGAATGCCGGAATGTAACCCTTGAAGAATCCCAACGGCCCCAATTGGGCCGTGTACACGATCACCGACAACAAATTCTTGAATTCGCCCGGCTTCGCGTTCATCGCCCGAGTTTTCAGCACGTCCAACGGCTGCGTCAAAGTCGTCGCTATGGCGCCCTGGAACACAACGATTATAGTCCGTTCGCCGTCGGGAGATCTCTCAACAAACACTTACGGCTGCGAGACTGGCCAAGAAATGCGTCTTGGCGTTATCCTCGAAATACCCGCTCGACAACAGCAAATACTTGGCCTGATCGTAGAAGGCTATCTGGCCTATTGTCATGAATATGGCCCGTCCGGTGGCCGTGCTGGCGCCGGAGAACATCTTAGTCACTCCCTCTTCTCGACAGACCCTCACCAGACCGTCCAGCGCGTGTTTGTAGCTAGCAAATCGGAAATAAATTGTAGTATTAGAGCTTCGCGTACTCGCCATCGTGTACTTTACTTTCTTCGTTTATCCTTGGGCAGTTTGATGTCGTTCTGCATTCTGACGTTAACCAAGTCGGCCGGGGTGCCTACGAGGCCTCCGATGGCTCCCGAACTGCCGGCGATGGCTACTTTGGTTAGGAACGAGTCGCTTTTCATGTTGTGTTTGGCGGTTTCGTAGGCCCCGAATCTCACCAACGAGTACGTTAATTGTCGTAGAACCGAAGCCGATAGACCGTTGTAGAGAGCAGTGATTCCTGTGAAGTAAATTCGTATAGATAAATGCGATTCCTGCGAGTAAATAAACGGGATAATAGGAGGTTTTTTTACCTTGATTTTTGACTATGTTTGTGGTGAGTTGTACGATGGATAGTTTCCCGTTTTGGTGGGTTTGTAGGTGGACTTTTATGAGATCGAGCGGGTGTGTGCAGCACGCCGCACCGGCCGAGGCCAGGCCTCCGAAGTACCATCGGGACAATTTCTCACTGGGCATCTTTTCGATTGTGGCTGTCTGGTAATAAATTAATTAGTGTGTGTAATAAGGAAAAAAATTGTGCAATTTTGTAGGAATTAGCTATAATGTTAACAATGTTATCAATTTTTGTAAGTACATATTAATTTTAATTAGCTTTGTGATTAGATTAGTTATTCAATCAAATTGTATTGTGATTGGACCGTTTTAATTTTCCTGTACATTTTTGGGACTGTCGTTTATCTACACTTGAATTTAGAATTAGGAGTAATTGATAATTTAGCGTAGAAACTTTTTAATGCAATATAAGATTTGTTTACTTACCATCATTTACAACACTTTAAGATAGGAAAGATTATCAATGAAAATTGTTATGCTAATGCATAATTATTCTTTGAGATAAAATCTGAATTTTTGCGGTATTCGAGCTATTTTATTTGGCGTATCCATTGATATTTTATCCATTTTAACAAAATTATTGAATTCTAAATTTCAAAACACCATTGACATTGACACATAAAAATATTTTTTTAAAAAAAGAAGAAAATAAAAAGCAATTTGACAACGACATGACACTAGTGACATTATTGACATATTTTTTTTTAGGTTAAGTTCATTCCCAAATTTAAAAGTGCACAATTTTACGAACTTTTCTTACCTATTTAGGCGTAATTCGAAAAATTAGCGCTTCAGGTGGACGAGTGTCGAACGTTCAGGAAGTAAATGAGTGCGTTTCGAGACTTTCTGAACATCACCAGGTGACTGGGTCGATGGGAGTTCTAAACGTGAAAACCGTTTGATAAACTTTTATCGTGTGGTTTATTCATGATCAGACGTTGATGATCCGATGCTAGTGTAACGCAAATCAAGGTCGAATTATCATTAATCCTCGTAATATCGAAAGTTACAGAAATCGTGGAAATGACGACATTTACGTAGATTGCGCGCAGCGAATTTCGAAAAAAAAATTCCTCTACAGTCTGTACTGAGTGAGTATATCATTATTTTTTTTTATTTAATTTAAACATATTGACATACAAAGTGATTAGGATGTTTTGTTTTTGTTTAACCATAATTAAAATTAATTTAGCAAATGTGGATTAATTAGGGTAATTAGGGTCAATAATTAGGGTAAGGTGAAAAGTTTTCGGCAGGCGTTCCAAATGGTTCTAGGCAGTTCTAAATGATTCTGGGGCGTTCTAAATAGTTCTAATTAATCCTGGAGCGTTCTAAATGGTTCTCGACATTTTTAAATGGTTCTGACGCGTTCTAAATTGTTTTAGACAGTTCAGAATGATTCTGGACCGTTCTTAGATTGTTCCAGACAGTTCTAAATGATTCAGTCCAAGACCTTTTCATCCTACCCTCGTACTCATATTTTTCGATTACATAATTAATAATTGATTGTTCCTAAAATTGAATAGAAAACTAAAAATAAATAATCTTTTATAACTGACCTAACTTAAATACCTTTTTTTAAACTATCCGTCTTGCCAATTCGAAATATTCAGACTAACCTTGGAATCACCGTCTAATTATTTAACGAAAAATCACCTTTTGTTCACAACAAATTCCACACAACCTTCGTTTCTCTATCGAGTTTCGTTTCCAATTGATTAACATAATTTACGAAAAACCGCTGAATAACGAACTAATTACATTCAACGACCGATGAATTTACTTACGCGGAAAACGAGGAAAAGGCCCAGTTAAAAATAACAGCGTGACGCTCCGAGCCGAGTATTAGTACGCACTAAATCACTTTTAATTTTTTAAGCTAATAGCTGGAACTAATAGTTTCATAACAAGGTCGCCAAATCCACTAAAATATTAAGCGTTTTTATCCAGATCGAAGATGATTTCTTTGGGCGATCCGGTGGCTTCGAACGCCGTGTTGAGCGCGCTGCAGGTGAGCGGAGACGATCGAATAATATCCATCAAGGAAGGTTCCAACGCGGATTCGAACTTCGTCATCACGCATCTGATCAAGCAGATCGTGCACGAGAAGAACCGGCTGTGCTTGGTGAATTTCCACAACACCATCGACCACTACCAGACCATCGGCAAGAAGCTGGGCTACGATTTGTTGAAAGGCGTGGAAGACGATTCGATTAGGATGCTGCAACCCATCAAGGAATTGGTGGATAACATCGAACAGGAAGATAAATACTTGCAGGAGAACACGGAGAATATCGTGAAGCAGTTGTACGCGGATATAAGGGATTGTTTGAGGTGCTTGAAGGGCGATAACAAGCTGGTTTATTTGATCGTGGACGATTTAAGTCACCTGCACGATTTGGGAGTGGATGTTAAAGATACGTTGTCGTTTACGCATTATTGCATGAACCTCACGGATAATAATGATATAACGGTTGTGTTTAATAACCACGTTTCGACTAAAACTGACGAGATTTTATCGAATAATCTGCAGTATGTGGCTGATGTACACGTCGAAGTGGCCGCTTTGAAAACGGGCTCGTCGCGCGATATTACCGGATTGCTGACGATACGAAGGAAATCTGCAGTCAATCATTATCATTATAAAGCTTACGATAGGGGCATTAAAACGTTCCATCCGGGAGAATCTATCTACCATTTGTACCAGTAATGGTAAAGGAGATTCTGTGCACGTTTTTATACGCTCAATTTCACTTACGATAATGTTTTCATACGGATTATTTGATATGTTTCTTTTTTTTTTTGTATTAACGTTTTAGTTAATGTTTGGCAAGTGTTTTGTACATTTTGGATTAAGACTTAATAAAATTTCGTAACTAATAAGCGTTTAGTTCACTATTCCAATAAATATCGATTTATGGACACTAATAGGTAGGCAACCAGTATTCAGATAATTCCATTTTTCAATAATCTCAATACAAAATGCCTTTTTATGTAAAAATCGTTCATACTTTATAAGCCATTTTTAATAAAACGAACCGACCAACAAGCCTCTGAACTTCCCCAACAATATTTTTATTTTTTATTGTACACAGATAAAAAATAAATAACATAATAATAACGTATTGAACAAACCAAAATCACGCATCGTCCGTTATCTCGATAGTATCGACGATTTTATCGATCATCGCCATTATATTGTCCAATTTCTCGTTGGCCATTTTGAATTTCCGCAGGAAGTCTTTCTTCTCCTCTTCCAACAATTCCCCGTCCGTCGCCCCTTTGATTTTTCCCCCGATTTTCGCCTTGAACTTGCCCCGCGACCGTTTCTCCGGAAACTCCTCGTCGAAGGTCTCCTCCAATTTCGATTTTATCGATCGCTTGTTCGTTATCTTCGGATTGTCGTCGATTATCTCCAATATCTGCCGACGGATCTTCGCGATCTCCTCGCGCTCTTCGTTGGACCTCTCCTCTTCTATCAGCTTCTTGATGTTCTCTTTCGGGTGTTTCTCCTCGAACTTTCTTCGTTTGTATTTTTGTATGATTCTTCTGATGTTCTGTTTCACGTTCTGCTTGTTATCGGCCCTTCCTGATTTCCCATCGGCGGTTTCTTCGGTTTTTATTTGAAGTTTTTTGGGTTTGTTCTCTTCGTTTGGGAGTTTCTGTTTGGTATCTTCTGGTTTGTACGAAATTTCTTCAGTTTTTATTGGGAGCTTTTTGGGTTTCTCTTCGTTTGAGAGTTTCTGTTTGGTATCTTCTGTTTTGTACGAATTTTCTTCAGTTTTTATTGGGAGCTTTTTGGGTTTCTCTTCGTTTGAGAGTTTCTGTTTGGTATCATCTGTTTTGTATGAATTCTCATCGATTTTTGTTAAAGGTTTTTTAGATTTGAACTCTCCATTAGGCGTTTTTTGTTTATTTGCATCATCTTCCTTTTTGTATGCATTCTCTTCGATTCCCTTCGCTTCGGTATCGGATTCTTCGCTGTTTTTCTTCATTACAATTACTTTATCGGGTATTTCGTTATTTTCGTTAACTTTACTTTTCTTCGATTTCTTTACCTTCTTCGAATCATCTTCGTTTTCCACCGTTAATTTAATTTCCACATCAATCGAATCTTCAACTAAACTCTCGTTGACAATTCCTTCATCTCTTTCGATTCCCATTTCATCCTCTTTACTAATCGATTCGTTCGATAATTCCAATCGATTCCCTAACGGTTCATCATTCATCTCATCGTTCCCGCCCTCATCATCAGCATCGATTGGTTTCGATTTCGTCAAATACACTTCGAAATCCTTCCGCCTTTTGAGCACAAACAGGACCGGCTTCGTGAGGATTTTCACGGGCGGCACTGCCAAATAATCGAAAGAAATCTGATGAAAGGCCTCCACCGTATCGATGATATCGTGAGTGGCCGAATACGGTTTCAAATTACCCGAGAATTTACTTTTACCCTCCACTATCAAATGGGTGTAGTGATAATACAGATCGTGGTCGCCCGGTTGCAAATTCTCCAATTTACTGTACCTGGAAGGAGAAAACAATATTAAATTATCTTCGCCTATCGGGCGAGTAATGGCCGGGTTCCCTTACGTCCAATTGCCGTTGATCTCCGTGAACCTGGAGACGCCCGTTTGGGCGGCCAAATTGGCGATGTGCACCCTCACAGGACCGGCCTCGTCCTTGCAGAGCCTGTGCAAACGCGAAATGGCCTGCCCGCCCGGGTAATTGGCGTTCGATACGCTCAAAAGGAACACCGTAAATGCCACGTTCAACGCCAGATGGCCCATCACGCCCAACGACAGCAGATTGTATATCGGCGATTTGTCCTTGTTCTCCCATCTACAAAACAACGATTAATATTCACGTTTATAATTAATGTATCTAGCGTTTTGTACATCCTGTGACAAGCAGTGGCGGCGGCGACGTTCAGAAACGGAAACACGTATATGATAAATCGCAGCTCCTTGTGCGGCAGGAACGAATAGAGCAGGACGAACAGCAGGCAGGGCGTCACCAAAATCCTGGTCCTTTTGTCCCAAAGGAAACCGATCGGCAGTAGGGCGATCGAGGCGGCCATGCCTCTCGGTATGGCCGAATAAAAGTACCACAAGAACGGCGACGTCTGTTGCGGTTTATTTATCGGTCAAGGAGAATCGATTTTTTTTTTGTATATTCTAAATCTAATAAGCGTGATAAAGGATACGCCCCAGTTCGAGCTCTTGTTCAACACGGCGTTGTACCAGAAAACCTCCCCTTCGGGCCACACCGGCCTCCGCCAAAACATCGAATCGACCACCGCTGTGAGTATCACGAACGCCAAGCCGCCCGGGATGCCTATTTGCAACAACCTTAAACCAGACGGTAATTCTATATATACTCAATTTTACCAACGATTTTAATACGAATGAATTAGAAAGCACCTTACTTTTGCCAACCTACCGTTTCACCGTGATCCTCTTCTCGTACAAATCGTACAACAGCAAAATCCCAAAGAACAGGGCCAACTCGGACCTGAATATTAATATGGCGGCGCCTGCGTATAGTATAAAGGTTTTATGGCTGTTTCTGATCCAACCATCTAACGCCAAAAGTACTACAAAATAAGGAGAAATATACTATAAATATACTATATGAATAAATAAGTATATACCTAAAGGAAGCGCCATGATGTTAGGCAACGGACGGCTCAAATAATACATAAAATGGCTCTGTGTAACCGTAATAGCCGTGAACCATTGCAACCATCGGTTACCGAACTGTTTCTCCAGCGTTTTTCCCAACACATTGAAGCTGCATACTACACAAGTAGCAAGTATGGTTCTCACTAAAAAGGAATATAAATATTGTTAATAATCTCTAACCTCCAACATTTTTGCAACTTTTTTAATGGATTATTTGATGCGTGTTACAACCAACTCACCTAAATATTGAGCCCAAAATTTATTGATATTCAAAAATTGAATGGCAGCTACGACGGGGTACGCCAAAATCGAGATGAACAACGGTCCGATGAATGTTCGAGGGACGACTCCGGGGAACTCCAGGTGATCGTACTGGAAAATCCAAAGGGCGCGAATCGATGTATTTTAATAGAAAAAAGCGATTCCGGTTGGAATTACGCGATACTCACCTGCGTGAGGTTGAAACCGTGGTACAAAATATCGTGGATGGCCTGCAAGTTGAAGCTCTCCTCGACTTTGGTGAACGGGCAGTAGACTAAATGCGCCGAGGCGATTATCAGCATTATCTGCGACATTTTTAACGTCGATCGTTACCTTTTTTTCTGCATGGTTAATCGGAAAACGGGACATATAACTAGAATAAAAATAGATTCGACTTAACCTACATATTTAAATTAAAAATATGACATATCGCGATTGTCACTCTTGACAGTTGACAGATGTCAATAAACGAATGGTCTCATGTTACCGATGTTGCCAGATTTACTGTACTTGAGGAACGAGTAATTGATTATTTAGTATGTAAAAGGCCATCTGGGGGCACAAATGACCTATCTCACCTTTAATTTACTCTAATCCATTGTCTTTATACCTCTATTAACGAAATTATTACTATAAATTGTATTAAATGTCTATTAAAGGGATAAGAATTGTAGGAGATTGTTGAACACTACTAGTTAGGCAACCACTTTTTCTCCTTTACATTTCTATCCCCAATAATTACTCAAAGAAAAATATGATACAATTCTTAAAATACTTTAATAACACTAATTACAATCCATTTAACTATCTGCAACATTCGAATAAAATTCTTTTAGACTAGTTTTATACAGAGGATCAGCTTTTAACGTTTGCGAATTAGCGCTATTTACTCGTACTGCAACATATTCACCGCGTTTGATTCCATTCGAATTAAATCCATTTGCATCGGGTAAGGGTACCGCGGGTACGATTACCTTAACATTTTGATCGTTTCTACCTTGCAGGAAATTCTCCGATCGTTTACTCGGCCCTTCGATCAGAATTAAATGCTTCCTTCCTATTTGAGACCTATTGATTCCTTCCGCATGGCGTCGGAAATGTTTTATCATAGCTTCTAATCTGAAAATGATATACAGATTGAGTTTATTGCATCATTAGTTATCTAATACCAACCGTTTTAGCTTAATCTCAGTTGGTACATCGTCTTCGTATCTTCGATGAGCGGTAGTCTTCTCCCTCATGCTGTACGGGAACAGAAAAGCGTTGTTGTATTTAATCTCATCGATAAGCGATAGAGTATCTTCGAATTCTCTGTCAGTTTCACCGCAAAAACCGCATATGAAATCCGAACTGAGCGCCACGTCGGGTATAAAACTGCGAATACGCTCGATTAATTCCACGTAAGCCTCTCTCGTGTAGCCTCTGCGCATTCGCTCCAGCACGGTAGAGCTTCCCGATTGAGCCGGCATGTGCAAACTCTTGCATATGTTAGGATAAGAGCGAATCGCCTGTGAAAAGAGACGACAATTATTGTTAGTTTAGAAGCCTCTAACGTTTAATTACCTCTAGTACGTCATCGGGGAAATCCTTGGGATGAGGTGAGGTGAACCGTATCCTCAGCTCCGGGTCGATTTCGGCCACTTTCACCAACAAATCCGCGAATCTCAGGCCCCCTTTTTTCGCTTTGTAAACCGTCTTAAAGCCGCTCGCTAAGGATGTAACGTTACCGATCTTCTCGCCTTCGGATAAGTCTCTGTAGCTGTTCACGTTCTGTCCCAGCAGAGTGATTTCCTTCACGCCTTCCTCGGACAGTCTCCGGACTTCGTCGAGTATCGAAGACACCGGTCGCGAGCGCTCCCTGCCTCTGGTGAACGGTACTATGCAGTAGGTGCACATGTTATCGCAGCCTCTCATTATAGACACGAAGGCTGTGACAGAGTTCTCGTTTAATCTAACAGGCGTGATGTCGGCGTAGGTTTCTTCGAGCGATAGTAGAACGTTTACAGATTTCTGGTTGTTGTTGGTGAGCGCTAACAGTCTCGGTAAGTGCCTGTAACTGTCCGGTCCGGCGACTAGGTCTACTATCGAGGATTTCTCGAGGAGTTTCTCCTTCAACCTCTCGGCCATGCAGCCCAGTATGCCGAGTTTTAGGGTCGACCGAGAGAGCTTTCGCAGACCTCTGATGTAGTCCAGTCGGGCCCAAATCTTTTCCTCGGCGCTTTCTCTGATGGCGCAAGTCATTAGTAAGATAACATCGGCTTCTAGTAGATCGGAGGTTTTATCGAAATTGTTGTTTTTCATTATAGACCATACTATTTCCACGTCGTTTACGTTCATTTGGCAACCGTAGATGTCGAAATATACTTTCCTCTTCGCTTGTAATTCATCGGGTTTGTAATAAGGAGGATTTTCTTCAGTTTGAGGATTATAATCGGTTTGTTCTGGTTGTATGAAATTAACCAAATTGGGGCCATTATCGAGTTTTTCTTTGAATTTGTTTACCACTGAGCTACTGGTCGCTTTTCCTCTAGTAGTATTACAGATTTGAGCTGAAAATGTAAGTAGTTTTCTTAAATTTATCATTTTGTTAATGACAATCTAACCTCACTGTTTTTCTAACCTGAAACCAGTTACGTAAGAGACCATTTCGAATTTGATAAAAAGAGGATAACTATAGAAAACTTTGCTTCACTAAATTAAATGAGAAAACAATAATTATAAACGTATTTAATTCCTAAATAACAGTACATTCAATTACAAATTAATCCACTTCCACTACACCTCCGACTTTCTCAACGGCTTCCTTCAATTTATCGGCCTCCTCCTTCGGGATGTCCGCTTTAATGACAGCCGGAGCGCCTTCGACGAATTTCTTCGCCTGCACCAAATTCATGCCTTCGATCAGATTCTTGATCTCTTTGATCAGGGGCACTTTTTGTTTCTCGTCGAATTTCATCAATTTAACGGTGAACGAGGACTTTACGGCCTTCGGGGCCTCCTCCTCGTCGGCGGCGGCGGGGGCGGGGGCGAAGCCGCCCATGGGCATCACGGGGGCATCGGGGAGGTTGAGGCGCTTCTTCAAAACCGAGCTGAGTTCGGACACCTCGAGCAGGTTCAATTGGGATATTTCCGCGGCGAGTTTGTCGATTTTTGGGGAAACTGGTTTTTCCACATCGCTGGGCGGGGGGATTGTTAGTTTCGGTGGGGCGCTCGGGGCCGATTCTACTCCCGCATTTTGACTTAAAGCCACCCTAAAATACTGTCGATTAGCGCATTAAATTTAACAAGGTGAAGCTTACCTGGAGTAGGAGGTTTTTATGTTTCGTAAATGCCTTAACACGGTTCTTGCGTTTTGCATTTTATTTAATAATTATTCGAAATTCCAAATAATATAGAACCTCCTCGCTTTTCCTATTTTATTAACCCTATTCTTCTTTTTCCTTTTCCCCTACATAAATGAACTATTTGCCTTAACCGGAAGCCTCAAAGTAAAAGGCCAATTTTGAATGAAACTGAAAGGAGAGCATTGACATATGACACCCAATAAATAAATTATTTCTCAACAAAAGTCCGTAGTGTTTATGTTAATTTAAGCCCTAAAAACAACCGTAAAAATGTCCGACGAACTGCAAAATTACCAACTGCAACTCCAACAGGTCGAGGCCGCTTTGTTGACGGACCCCGAAAACCAGGAACTCCAGAAATTGAAAGTGGATTTACAGGAGGTGATCGAGCTGACTTTAGACTTGAAAAGCAAAGCCGAAGAGGCCGCCAATCAACCCGAATACACCGAGCCCGTTGGAGTAACGGAGGAAGACGAGATCACCAAATCCCTCCTTGCAGTAGAGGAATTCGTAGCCAGGAATCGAACGAAGAAGAAGTGGCGGATCGGAGACATATGCATGGCGAAATGGGGCGAAAACGGGCAATTCTCCGAAGCTAGAATCGACGCCATCAACCCCGACGGGCAAGTAAACGTAACCTTCGAAACCTACAAGAATCGAGGCGTCACCAGTTTATCCGAATTGCGCGAATTCACCGGACAGAAGCGCGTCCTGTCGGAATCGGAGAAGATGAAGAAGGCCAAACTGCACGACAAAGAGTACCTAAAGAAGAAGAAGCTGAAGAAGCAGCAGAGGTTCAAGGAGCTCGAGGAGGAGCGCGAAGGAGAGAAGAAGAAATGGCTGGCGTTCGCCAACAAAGCGGTGAAGAACAAGAAGACGGGCTTGAAGACGAAGAGCATCTTCGCTTCACCGGATTCGGTTAATGGTAGAGTTGGTATCGGAACTTGCGGGATTAGCGGGAAGCCGATGACCGAGTTTTCTTCGGCAGAAAAGTGGAGAAAAGGGACTTAATTTTTTATCAGAAATTAATTGGGATTTAGTAATGGATCGTGTTAATATTATTTAAGGAGAAATCGTGTTTTGTTTATGTATAGTTCCGTATTTTTATTTTCTTCTAGCATAATTTCGCTAGTTATGCGGGGATTCGATTTTAATTGAGAAAAATTGTAATTTCAAGTTAAAAAAATACTTTTACAATAAACAATTATGTATAAAATTCTTTGCGCAATTCGCATGAAAGTGCATTATATTCGTTTCGTAATCAAATTGATAAATAAATACTATATTTCAAAAAAAAATTGCTAAAAATAACAGCTATTTAGTAACAATCGTTCCAAAACATCTAATTCCCAACTCTACAAAACCTGTAATCGCCGCCATATTGGCCTCCTAATTGTCGGCATCCAGGCATAAGCAAAACAACAGTTTTATATTAAAAAAAAAGAAGAAGAATGTAACCTCACTTACAAACAATATGTTTTCATTACGTTATTTTCGAGAAAACTACTAAAAACCAATTAAAATGGAAACTTTCAACGGATACGTGATGAATTTAGCGAATAGCATAATAGGAGCGAGCGTGCTAGCGATGCCCTACTGCTTCAAACAATGCGGAATAATTCTATCGATAGTGCTCCTGTTGTTGAGCAGCGTAGCCTCGAGATTAACCTGCCATTTCCTGCTGAAATCCGCCATAATATCGAGAAGAAAAACGTTCGAACTGCTTGCGTTTCACCTGTTCGGGGGACCGGGAAAATTGATAGTAGAGATCGGTATGATCGGTTTCCTGCTGGGCACTTGCATTACTTACTTCGTAGTAATGGGAGACTTGTGTCCCGTCATTCTGACCGAAATAACGAAAACCCGCATAACCGGCACCATGCACACCACCATCTTGATGTCCCTAGCGCTGCTGATTATCCTACCGTTGGGCTTGCTGCGGAACGTTCGCAGTCTAACAGGCGTATCGAAGGCCACGATGGTATTTTACTGTTTTCTGATATTAAAAGTGATCGTGGAAGCCCTGCCGCGTTTGTTCGAAGACGATTGGTACAAGCAAGTGAATTTATGGCGACCGCAGGGGATTTTACAATGCATCCCGATATTCTCGATGGCCTTGTTCTGTCAGACGCAGCTGTTCGAGATCTACGAAGTGGTGCCGAATCCGACGCTGGACAAAATGAACGGCGTGATCAAATCGGCCGTGAACGTTTGCACGGGGGTGTACATTTGCGTGGGGGCTTTCGGTTACATCGCTTTTTCCAATAAGCCTTTCACGGGTAACGTTCTGTTGAGTTTCGAGCCGAGCTTAATGACGCACGTGTTGAAAGTGGGATTCGTGTTTTCCGTCGCGTTCAGTTTCCCTCTCGTGATTTTCCCTTGCAGGGCGAGTTTGTACTCGTTGTTGTTCAAAGAAGGCTACACGATCCACGAGGGAAACACCAATTACATACCCGAAGGGAAATTCAAAGCCCTCACGTTGCTCATCGTATCCGTATCTCTGGTTATAGCGATACTAATACCTAATATAGAGCTAGTGCTAGGCTTGGTAGGCTCCACTATCGGTATAATCATTTGCGTTTTATTCCCAGTGACGAGCTTCATATGTATTTCGCAAAAAAACACCAACGAACGGATCGTCGCTCAAATACTACTAGCAATCGGGGTGTTCGTTATGGTAGTGGGAACCTACAAAAACATCCAAAAGGTCGATAACATCGAGATTAAACACTTACCAGAGAAATTCGAAGTGAAATCCTTCCCTAAAGTGGCCCCTACGGCTATTAACCAAGCCATACCGGTGCCTCTTCAACCGGTTAAAAACGAAAACAACCACCCCCCTGTAGAGGAGAAGCCAATCGAAGAAATTCGAGTGAAAGACGTCAGACACGAACCACCCCAACCTGTCGAGCCCGTCGAAGAATTAAAACCGCCCCCGATCAAGAACAAAATCGATCGCAATCAAATCAACGACACGGTGGACATCGAAGCGATCAAAAAGGAAGACAAAGAGGAACAGCTCGAGCGAAAGGAAGACAAAGAAGAACAACTCGCGATAAAGGAACCCGTCAAAAAGGAAAAGCCGGAAAAGCCGCCGGAGACGAGGGAATCCCCTAAAGAGGACCTCGACAAGGACCACAAGCAACTGATCGACACCATCCAGAAGCAGAACGAAGTGCAAAAGGAAATCGTCGAGCAGCAAAAGCAGCTGTTGGAGGTCTTCAAGCAACAGCAGCAGAAGAAGGAGGCCGATAAGAAAATCGACGAGGTCAAAAAGGAGAAAATGAAGGCGGTAAAGGAGATCGAAAGCATAGCTCTGAAAGCCATAGAGAAAATCAGCGAAGGGGAGGACAGCAAGAAAGTCGTAGACGATTTGAAAAAAGGTATAGAACACAAAGAATCGAAGCTGGCCGCGAAGAACAACAGCAAGGAATTCGAGAAGAGCGCCGTGAATTTGCAAACGGAAATCCAACAGTTGAGTTCTCGATTGGATCGAGCCGGCTTGGAAATCAAGAGCAAAGAATCGAACAACAAAATCGATTCGATCAAAAGTAAGAACGATTCGGTACTTCCCCCGTTACCCGTCATTTTAGCCAAAAAAGTGGAACCGAAAGAAAATCTAACCAAGAGTTCGAAGCCTGAAGAAAACGAGAATGTCGCGATGAAGAGGGATATTTTAAGCTTGGTACAATAATTGTAATATCTATACCATTTCGCAACTCTTTTAACGAACTGACATTCGTGTCATATTTGACAGTTTTTGTTTGTTTACATAACAGTATCATCGTACGCAACATAAAGTCCTACGAATTCGTACTGAATATAGAAAATGTTGACTGTGATTTTAGTGAATAAAAATTTTATTACCAATCATCTTCGTTGATATCTTGTACGATATCTTTAACATTACTAGTATCGATTTCGTTTGTGGTACTATCGAAGGTGGTTTTGTTGTACTTTTTCCCCGCTCTTTTCCCCCTTTTCGGTTTGACATCGGCGGTTTCTTCGTCCTCCGAATCGCTGGGAAACAGCTCGACCGGTCCTTCGCTTCTCGCAGTTTCCTTCTTGCTTCTCTTCAATACAGGCAGATTGTAATCGGCCAATTCATCGTTAGACGTCAACTGTTTGTTCTTCTTCACCGTCCTCAATTTGTCCCAGTTTTCGTAGTAAACGGTCAGCGGAGGTTTCTTCTCCTTGATTTGCGCCTGCCACCCGTCGATTTGCTTGAAATCGTTGAGGTTCAGATTCAACTTCGACCGTTCTTTCTCCACAAACTTGGAGTTTTGCTCGATCTTCTCCAACAGCTGCTTGAATTTCCTGTTGTAATTCGGATTCTTGCAGGTCTTCACGAACTTCTTGAGCTACAAATACGCATTAATAGTACGCTAAATTATTGTCGATAGGAATATAATTCACCTGTATTATCGAATAGAGATTTAAATCGGGGAATCCTAAAGTGTGCGATTGCGAACTTAAATACTCCAATGCCAGTGCGTATACGGTTTCGATTAGCATGTCTTTGTAACCGTTTTCTTGTAGTTGGGACTTCGATAATCTTAATAAGCAGGTGAAATGGAGGGGTTTCATCGATACTTTCTTGTGCTTCTTATTGAAATCTACGGAAGTCAACACCTGCAATATAGGAATAATTATTGAAATAACTCCACAAATAATCCACTTTTTCCAAACATACTTCGTATAAAAACGGCAATATCGGTATAAAAACTCCAGTTTCTCTACTCAAATCCATCAATATCTGCACCACGTGGAACCTCAACGGGTAATACTGGCAAGTCGGTACCAATTTAATTGTACCGATGCAAACCTGCACGAACGGATAAATCAATTGCCTCATTATTTCCTTATTATAAGTGACACTTAATAAATTCCCCCATAATTTCAACGAGTTTACGAACTGCCAATTGTAAACGGCCTGGATGTTTTCCTTCTTGTTCACGGTAATGGCGTTCCTCAGATGAATAGCCAGTTGTCTTATGTACAAAAACACGTGCTGGTAGGCGTAATTCGCGTCTAATGCGAACATTTCCACCAAAGATCTCCGCATGAAGTTGATCCCCGGCAGGGATTTCAAGCTCACGAACTTGGAATTCTTCACGTAAGTCATGTACATCGATTTCAAAACCGTGTCGATCAAGAACGAGTGTTGATTGTTGGTTGTTCGCAGTACGCAGAAAAAGGCCAGCACTCGAACGTTGTCCTCCGACGTGCCCCACAATTGGATCAGTCGCTTCGTTATGGATTTCGTGATGTTGGGGAACGAAGTCAGAAGAGAGGACATGTAGTGCAGATGTTTCAGCAGGACGGTTTGGATGTTCGAAGAAGTCACTCCCGATAGAAGCTTTAGTATATCCGTGAAATACAACTTTAAATTGTTCTTTATTTTGCTGAATTTCTTGCATTTGTGGGGCGGTTGTTTGGAGCCCTGTTCGAGCCTCAGAAACCGCCTTACGGCCGGTCCTAGTTCGAGCACGCAAAGTTGAATTACTCCGTTAAAAACAGCAGAACCTACAATACAATTTACGATATCAATTCAATATTACTGTTATATTAAAGCAATTACCATCGACTTTGTAATAAGCCGGTTCATTATCTTCTTCGCTGGAGATTCTTTGCAAAGCAGCGTGGAAAGCATCGATAAGTGTTGTAATTGTTTTCGAGCTTTTATCGGTTTGTATATCCGTTTGCCAAGCTCTTAGCATTTTATGAGTGATTACTCTGGAGTCTTTCCGTTCGTCACCGTCTTCATCTTCATTCTGGAAAAATGAGAATTTGCTGGAAAATAATTCGAAAAAAGGCCGGTTTATGAATTTACCTCGAAGTCGCTTTCATCACTCGCTACAGCCAAGTTATCTGCCGGTCGATGAATTTCATCGTCGCCTTCATCTTTATCTTCTTCGTCATCGGATAGATTGAAGTTTAGGAGTTTCTTGTCGTTTTCTTGTAAGAATTTGTAAAACTCCGGATCGGTTTCTTTGAGTTTTTCCAAATCTTGTTTGTGTTTGCTAGCTTCGTTTTCACTATCATCACTTTCATCATTCTCTAAGTTTTCTTCGGTAATTTCTTCTTCGTCATCGCTAAACTTTTCATCTAAATCGATGTCGCTGTCTGAATTGTTGGAAAATTGCACGTCTTCTTCATTATCCTGATTTAATAAGGCTTCTAACTTTTCCTTTTCTTTGGGATTTAGTTTTATGTTGTTTTTATTGATTTTCTTCGGGATTTTTTTGCTGCTAGCTTTTTTGACGACGCTTTTAGGTTTCTCTGTTCGTTTCTTTAATTTCACACCAGCCATTATTCGGTATTTTTAATAATAAACTATTTTAGACCACGTTTAAATCGCACGTTTTGAAAACATAACCTCGTAATAAAAATTCCTTCTTCTTTTTTCTTCTATTCTTGTTGTTTTTTTGGCCTGTACCTAAACAGTATTTGGCCAGCGCTGGTTTTCGCGTTGTTTCGGAAAGAAAGCTTTTGATTATTCTTATTTCGCTGACTATTTTTTCTCGTATTAATAATATTTTAAATTATTGAAACCAATTAGTCAATTATTTTATTTTCTTCTTTGCATTTACTCATATTGGAAATCTGTCAATTGTCATTACTGTCAATTTTTATTTACTTTTGTCATGAGTGAATTGGATTTTCGAAAAGTTTCTTACAAAAGAAAAAGTAACAAACAATCAGCGAATAAAAAATTAGATATAATAAATAGTTCTCCGTTTGGCGGAGATTTCGATATAAACATCGCATCAAGGTAACTCGTTAAATTTCAATTCATAACAACGAAACATAACCTCACTTTTTGCTATTTTTAGGAGAATAATCGAAGCAAAATTGGAAATTTCCTCTACGGATTTATACGATTCGTTGAAATCGTCATTGAAAGAAGGTTTAAGCGAATTAGAAAACCCTAGAGTACATAAAATCGTTTGTTTGGGATTAGGAAAGATCAGTGAGTGTCTAACGGCCCGTTACCAATTAGTTATAATGCTTAGTTTAAGCGAGTTATTTAACTGTCCCTTATTCGCGTACGATCCCGTTTTTAGCGAGAACGATAAGACTGTTTTATCGAAATTTAACGTTACCGTTTTAACGGACAATCTAGAAGGCAAATACAAAGTGAATAGTAGCGAAACGACTATATTTTACATGCCTCATTGCCCCAAACAGCTAACTAACAATCTTCTATGGGCCAATTGGGGATTGAATCTCAACTATTGCGTTATATTCGCCAATAGTTTCAGTAAAATCATCGAATCGAATCCGAGCAGGGACTTGGTAGCGAACGCCGGGTACATCTCGAAGATATACCCCTACGTTCTAGAATTACCCGTGATCAATACGTTCAAATATTACGAAATTTTCAACGATTTGGCCGTACACGTGTTCCCCAAGCTAAAAATGGTGTGCGCCGATCTGTGGAAGAATTCCCTCGAACCGATTTACAAACAAACCGATTTAGAATTCATCACTAACTGTTAATTAGTCCGTAATATAAACGTTTATACTAAGTAGTGTATTTTATCTTTAGCTTCCTGCGTTTGAAAAAAAATGGCGGCTAATTTGAAGGTGCTCAGGCAAATCATATCCGAACTGCGCTATTCCCTACCCGAAGGCAATCTGCGAAGCAACCATTTACTCCGGTACATCGTGAACCAGTACAGAAAGTACCGAACGACCGATCAGCAACTGTGCAAGGCCCAAAAAGAGATGGAATCCATGGCGAATACGTACTTGTGTTATTTGAAATCCAGCCGATTAGAGCGCGAAATCCACCAAGAATTCCACGGTAAAGGCGAGAGAACCATCACAGAAACGGCCAATTTAGTCGGATTCAAACTACCGCACGATCCTAAATAATCAAACAAACCAGTAGTCTAAACTATTTGTAGAGCAATAAAGCGGTTATAGTACAACAGCCATCCCTCGTAGAAACCTTTACGAGTCCGATAAAGGGGTACGAGTAGCGTTTAGAAAGCCGTTTCTCATCGATATTAGTTGTAATTAAAGCGATGCGGGAATATAACGCAGTCGATCTCGCTATTGGGATGCGGGCATATCGCGAAGTGAAAGTGTTCGATGACCACGTGCCCGTCTTCGGTCGCGCCGGCAGCCACTCGGGCCGTTACGTAAGAGGCCGGAGTGAAAGCACGCCGGGTTTTTTTCGAGAGCTTCTTCTTTCTCCACGTTCGCCTAGTTTTGTAATAATTGCTTTGAAATTCCGCGACGGGTAGGCGGATTCGATAATTGCGTATGTGATGAGATTGCTGTGGAGTTTCTAGATGATGTCTTAGATTAGTCGTACGAAGGAGCTCCGGTTAATGGGTCGTTTTATTAGGTTATTGTTGTGTGTAGACTTGATGATGGTCTCGTTTATGTCGAAACGAGTACGTGTAGTACACTAGTATATGTATTTTTCTCGTTTTCTCTTTGGTACATTTTTCATTAACTCTAGAACAGTCTAGAACCATTTAGAACGCTCCAGGAACATTTTGATCGGTCTAGAACGTTTCAGAACAGTTTAGAATGCTCCAGAATCAATTAAAATGTGTTTAGAACAATCTCGAACACCCCAGAATCATTTAAATCCGTCTAAAACCAAAGATTTTGGCTTGATAAGAAAAACAATCTCTACTTAGACTCGATGATGGTCTAGTTTATGTCGAAACAGGTAGGTTGTGTATTTTCCACAACATTAAAAGTGATTAATTATTAGAAAAAAAGACTTTATTCAGCATTCTTAAACACGTAAAAAACAAAATTACAACAATAATTACAGGCTTAAAATTAATAAAGAATACTCATTGGCGAACCTGTCGTATATATACAGTGCTTTGTACTTACACTAACTCGACTGATTCTTCGCTATTTCGACGTGGGTGGAGGTCAGGAAATGCGGGAACCTAGAGAGATCAACGTACGAACGACGGGGGAAATACCGGAGGTGTTAGAAACACGAGAAATGTGCCATCTTAGCGTAAGCAAAAGGGAAATTGAAGATACTACTAAAATGCATTAAAGAAATTCTTTCGAACGTACTTTGCATATAATTATGGTGGTAAGTAAAGAGAAAGGTCAAGAGGTGGGTAGAGAGAAAGATGTCCGATGTGCCAAATAGGCAGAGGCAGGGATTATAATAGAAGAAATCGTATAGTACAAAAAAAAGGGAAAGGATTGTGTTTTTACTCCTCGTCTGGTAGTCGAAGTGCCGAATAGGCAGAGAGGAATCATAATAAAAAAGAATAAATTGGGTAAAGAAAAAATATAAAACATTTTGGAGTGATTTTACCACTCACCTGTTAACCGATGTGCAAATTAGGCAGTGGTACATTAAAAAAGAAGAAGTTGGGTTAAGAAAAAATTTGAAATTTTGTTCGAATTCGAGTGATTTTTTTAGCGAAATTTGCGCATTTTGTGATTAGTTGATACAGGGTGAGTATTCGTTAAAACAGCGAAGAATCAGTTTGGGGGTCTAGCGGGTAGTTAAAACGAAGGAAATATGTACAGAAAGAAGGGATTATTTATAACCGGGCGGTTTAATCCCATCCGTGGTGGTGGTGGACTTTCACCCAGACCTTCTCCCACACCGGCTTGGAGATTTTCTTCCACGCCGGTACTTCGATGGTTTTCCAAACCGGAACCCAAATTTTCTTGTATTCATCCTTCCAGATCTCCTTCTTTTCGGTGATCCATTTTTGCACCTTCTCGGTACGCCATATTTGCACCTTTTCCTGCTTCCAAATCATCTCTTTCTTGGGTATCCAGATTTGCTTCTTCTCCGTTCTCCAGATTTGCTCCTTCTTCGGTATCCATATTTGCTGTTTCTCCGTCCGCCAGATTTGCTGTTTCTCCGTCCGCCAAATTTGCTTCTTCTCGGTCTTCCAGATCTGCTTCCACTCCGACTTCCATTCCATCTTCTTCTGCGGCACCCAGATCTGCTTCTTCTCGGTCTTCCACACCTTCTTCCACACCGGCTTCCAGATGAGCTTCTTCTTCCAGATGTCGTGCGCCGTGTACTCGCTGCCGTGATCGTCCTTGCCCAAATAGTGCTCGCCGTGGATGCCCTCCTTCACCCATTCGGGCACGAAGGACTTCTTCCATTCGGGCACCTGGACCTCCTTCCAGGCGGGCACTTGCACCTCCTTCCACACCGGCACCCAAATCTGCTTCCAAGCGGGCACTTGGATCTCCTTCCAATCGGGCACTTGGATCTCCTTCCAGTCGGGCACTTTGATCTCCTTCCAGGCCGGAACTTTGACTTCCTTCCAATCGGGCACTTGGATCTCCTTCCAGGCGGGCACCTGCTTCTCGATCCACGCCGGTTTCGAAATCACCTTCCAGTCCGGCACCTGGATCTCCTTCCAAACGGGCACTTGGACCTCCTTCCAGGCCGGCACCTGCGTTTTTTTCCACTCCGGCTTCCAGATGAGCTTCTTCTCGTGCTTCCACACCTTCACCCATTCGGTTTTCCACGTTAGCTTCTTGCTCCAGTAGCCCTCCGGTTCGTGGTGGGATCGTTTCGAGCGCGAGAGACTACCTGGAGCGGATTCATCGGCGGGTAACGCTAGCGCGTACCCGACGATTGCCTGCAACAATCCGAAAAGAAACCGTTACTGTAACCGTTACGTTCATCTCTAATTCGCATTTAAACTGTCACTAAATGTCAGATTGATAGGGAAAGTGACTGAATAGCCCTGAGAGATGAGGCCAATTTGTTTAGAGAAGAAGTAATTAGGGAATGTTTTATCGTTACCGTTAGTTATGTGAGTTTTGTAAGTCGATAGTTAATATGAAATGGGGGAAAAATACCAAAAATTGTGAGTATTTGTAGAAAAGTTACAATCCTACAATATGGTTCAATAGCATAACTCTCCAGAGTCATTTAGAACGGTACAGAATCATTTAGAACTGTCTAAAACCATTTGGAATGCTCCAGAATCATTTAGAACTGTCTATGGAACCGTAACTGTTACTTATCGTAACGTCCACCTCTAATTCTCATTCGAACTGTCTATAAATGTCAGTTATAGATAGGGATTGTTGTATTGGAGTAGAGGTGGGAGTTGATGAAAAATAACGTTACCGTTACTTTATGTGACTTTTGTAACACGATATTTCATGCGAAATGGATAAATGTTTAGACTATTAGGGAAGAAGGAAGTACCGTTTCGAGTTAAAATCGTGACCGATTCGTGTTCGTACACTTTCTTCGAATTATTCAAAAAGGAATTTCACCGATGGTGCATCTTTATTATTTATCTATTACAGTATTATACGTTACGTACGCGTTGCGTATCTGCTTTTATTATGTTTCGATTGAAGACGGATCGATTGCGTAAAGGAATCGATTGAGAATCGATGCCGCTCCTTCGCGAAATGAAATCTAGTCGTCTGCGATAATTATCGTGTACTTCCTGCATGTTTAATTCTGCTGAAATTTATGCGATTTTCCTTGTTTCAGTGACCTCTTACCGATGCGAACATCCAGCCACCACATTACGGTAAGTGACTTACCATAAGTGAGTACTTTCGCGAATATTCGCGAATTATTACAGGTTGTTGTAAAAATATTTATAAATTTATTCATCTTTAATGACCTACTGACACGCGAATCCGCATAAAAATTAGTATAATTTATACAAAAATCGACGATTTATGCAAAGCGAATTATCGAAATTAATCATTCGGAACTTATACATGGTAATCTAGAATGTTTAGATTATTAGATTATTTATTTATTACTAGATGGTTATCTTTGTGCTTCAATATTTCAACAACCATCAGGTGAAATGTTTTCTCCACAGAACACAAAACATTTACCTACACTTAAAATGTCAAGAGTGAAGAATTTAACTTTCTCTTATCGTCGAATTACCCTGTATAATCGAACAATTTCCTGTTCGTGCGAACTCACGCCGGGGCGCCATCGACACAATAATCAATAAATTTGTAAATAAATTTTAATACATTTACTCCTGTCACTTGTGACTAAATTGACAGCGATTTTACAGCCTACTATGATTTACGTAAGTCTTATCAATCCACTTATAATGTGGATGCAAGGGGGTAGTTTATTATACAGCAGGAAACTTTTCCGGGTTTCAAAGTGTTTCAAAATTCAAAAATTTCCGGTAGATCTCGTCGAGATAGCATATTTTTCCTCTCCTAATAAAGCCGCAATACACTCTCCAATCAATCAGTGAATCTCTCCAACATCTGTATTATGTACACTTGTCACTTGTCAACCGGCCTACTAGATCTTTCGTTCGTACATACTTTTTGCGCCATTCAGCTTTGATAAAACCAATTAGGAAAAGGAATTTAACTAATCTCTTTCGCTTGTAATTTCATTAGTATTACGTCGGGCGCCCGTCGTGTTTTCCGGTATGTAACACATTCGCGGGCGCTCGCCGATCGAAGAAAAGGTTCGAATATGGCCCGAAGAAAGTTCGACCCGTCGAAAAATTCTCGTTTCTCGTCGTTCTCGAGATCATAAAGAGCGTTTACGCGCGCTCCATTAGCGGGGCATTACGTTCGAAATTCTATTATAATTGCCCGTGTACAGAAGATGGCTCCGCGCTGTAATTATTTATTACGTGACATTTTATATTACTTTCGATTATTACGTGGGATTTTTTTTTTGTGTGGAATTCGAAACGTTCCGTGGGTTAATTTTGACGTTGATTCGGTCGTTATGTACGTTCCGTGCTTTTTTTTTGACAGTAATTTGACACGTATCTGTTTTTACTGATCCGTGCTATTTTTGACATTAATTTAAATTCATTTTTACGGTTTCGTGTTATTTTTGTGACAGTAAAGTGACAGTTATATCTGTTTTTACCGTTCCGTGTTATTTTTTGACAGTAATTTAAAATCTTCATCAAGTTCATCAGTAACTTGTATCTTCTTTTGTCGCTCCATGTTATTTCTGACAGTTTGTAATTTGACACTTTGGTTTTTTTCTTTTCAGGCTATCCTTGTTATATTTTGACACTTATGTCTATTTTTGCGTCCCGTGCTTCATCAGAGTAAAATTTAACAAGTGTCATTCATAGAACGTTTGATTTTTCGAAAAATTTGTATCTAGTAATAAGAGAGTGATATAATAATTTTCGGGTTTAATATCGTTCAATTAATAGTCATTCGTGTTGCGAAATTCCATTAACCTTACAGAGATATCACAGAATGATAAATTATAGAGTATCTATTGTTTATCAAAACTTTCACACTCTTGATGAAAACGAAACGAAAGAAAAAAAAATGTGTATACAATGATTGTTGTTATTTACGTGCGCGCTTTTATACTCGGGAGAAAATACCGATGAAAGTGTTTTCCCACATTTTTACCCGAAAGATTAGAGTGCGTAAATAATAATTAAACGAATATAATTAGACAATTAACGATTCATGTTAACAAAAGGTATATGCGGGCAGAGAGGTCACTTTCCAAATGGATTTTTTTTTAATAATTTTTTGATAAAACTCTCGCTTTTGTTGATAAAAAAAAGGATTTAAATAGAGGTTTTAATATCTAATTAATATCTATATCTATATATCTAATAAGTGGTGGTGTTTCAAATAAAATTAATAAATTAAGAATTATTCGAAATGAGATAATTATAATTATTTTAATTTGTTATTCATGTACGTACTCTTTAGACAAATTAATGTATTTCTAATTAAATTTTAATCCTATAACAGTATTGCCCCCCAATTAACTAACAATCATTTAAAGTAATATTAATATTATTTATGTAAATTCTACTCGATTTAAAAAGTATTGAAATATATTGGCTCATCCTGTATATAAAAATTTTAAAAATTTCCTCCGAATATTCCAATATTTCTAGTCAAATTGCAAAAGATTTGAACGATAAAATAGAACAGTAACCCAGTAAATTAAATATACTCATACTTGATTATTTCTCGCTACTTGATTATTTCTATTAAATTTATTATTTTGCCTATACAGGGTGTTGCAAATAAACTATAATATTTATAGTGATTTATCACATTTAACCATAATCACACTATATTACCCTAAATCTTTCAACCAACCACAATTGCCAAAAAAAAAAAGAATTTAACACGTCACAAGTCCACCCCGAAAATTCGAAAAAAAAATAAAAAAAAAAATCCAAAAAAAATCCAAAAAAATAAAAATAAAAAAAATAAATAAAAATCGACACTAACCAGAAGCAAGTAGCACCTCATGATAAGCGACACGCAGCGTCTCCAGCCCCCTTTCGCAAAGCTCCCGGGGGGGGTCGTTGAGCGATTGATTTAACTGAAACCACCAGCCCGGTAACCGTCGGTTATATACCGGCCCGGCGATTCTTTAGCGAGCACTCCGCCCCCCCCGAGCGGGGCCCGCTCCCGCGGGGATCGCCGGCCACAAGAAGAGAACGACGAGAGAAAAGTCGGCGGTGCCGCTTTCTTCTCTCTATCGCTCTCGAGCGGTACTCGGACAATTCGAGCAGGTGGGTAGAGTACCGGGCAATTACCGGCGCGACTTCCTCTAAATACAACGCGGAGTCGAGTCCGTTTCCGGCTTCGGGAGATTTACCGCCCGCGGTGGTTTATTTCGCGTGGTATACTTACCAGCGGTACTGCAATTTTAATAGATATGCCTGTACAGTTAAGAGTAGAGTACACTCACTACATTACACTATTCTATTGTATGCTATGTGACACTACACTACACTACACTACTCTGAATCTGTACTTGTGAATCTACTCTTAACATATTCTTGATCTACTCTGAATTTACTGGTAACTCTAACTACCCTACCCTACCCTAAATCTACTCTGAATCTGCTCCGAATCTACTGGTGAATCTACCTACTCTTAATTTACTCTGAATCTATTATGAATCTACTCTAATTCTACTCTGGCTCTACTGGTGAATCAACTCTGAATCTACTGGTGAATCAACTCTGAATCTACTCTGAATCTACTGGTGAACCAACTCTGAATCTACTCTGAAACTACTGGTGAATCTTCTCTCAATTTATTGGTGAATCTACCTACTCTAAATTTACTCTGAATCTATTATAAATTATAATCTACTCTAATTGTACTCTAAATCTACTGGTGAGTCTAGTCTAAATCTACTCTGAATCAATAATAAATCTTCTCTAATTCTACTCTGAATCTACTCTGAATCTACACTACACTATCATAGAATTATCATTTATTTAATTCCCATTTGAAACTTGGTAAATATCTAGCGAAATTAATTTATTTGATTATAATTCCATATACAAGTAATTTCAATAAGAATGTGCGCGTTTCCTTACAATTATTTTATCTACATGCAAATTTCCAGCCGTATTCATGCGTATAGAAATCGTTATAATGAACTAATAAATTGAATATTAAATAAAACTCGAAGTTAAGAATGAAAATAAAATAGTTTAATGAAGGTTATTTTTATTAGTAAGAGCAAGTACGGTCCTGTCCTTGAAATGGTTAATATGACATTTAGGAACTGTCAAATTTGACTTTTTTGTTTGCATAGACTCGGTTGCTGGTTTTTTTGACAAAAACAATGTGCAGGACCGGCCTCGAAATATATACACAATAACGTTTGGCTATTTTAATTTAAAAATCGCCCCGTATATTTGCGAGAAAAATTGTTAGTAGAACAATTCACCCAACGACTAATTAAACATGATTTTTTTCACGCTAAACTGATTTATTCATCAGAGATAATCAAACATACTGGCGAAATTCGAGATTTTCTCTCGAGGATTATTCTTCTTATCTAACGTTTTAAAAATATACTCTCATTGCGCATCGCTAGTTTTACTTTCTACGCGAAATTTTCCACGCAAACTCGAATTTCTCTCGAAAATCTAGAATGCCGAATATTATTACCGAACGCACTTACCTATGCACGTCAAATATTTAACGTCAACGTCAATCGATCATATTCCAAGGCCTCGCTGATTGCGCGCGCGAATGATTATAATTAATAACGCATTTCTCGAAATTGAAGTAAAATGATTTATTTATTTACGCTTAGAGCCGCTCGTTCATGAGCTTTCACAATTCGACTAAATCCGATTTAGACGTAATTGCTTCATATCGGACGCGAATTTAATTCCTGTAAGCCTAAAAAAACATTGTTAGCTGTTAATAAATATTTACAGGGTGTTGCCCAAAACGAAGGCAAGCAGGGGAGGCCCAAAACTTGGTTAATTTTAACACAACTTGGCTGTATTTTGGGTGAGTTGAAGGCTATCAAAGTGGAATAAAATAGCTAATTTTGATGGCCTTTAACTCCTCAGGAATACAAACTAATGTAAATCCAAGTCGAAATCGTTGGTTCAAGACAGTTCTAAATGATTCTGGGGCGTTCTAAATGGTTCTAGAGCGTTCCAAACGGTTTCAGACAGTTCTAAATGATTCTGGAGCG